CTGAGCCCCCAGGTAAGCCCAAGAATACTGGAGTGGGTAGCCTATCCCTTCTCCAGGGGATCTTCCCAACCCAGGAATTGAACCAGGGTCTCCTGCATTGCAGGCAGGTCCTTTACCAGCTGAGCTACCAGGGAAGTCCAGTTTCACTATATATTACAATCATTTTTTAAGCTGATAAATTAAGATTTTTAGTTGGAATTTCAATATTAAATTCTCAAAAATTAATAGAATGAATATTTAGAAAAGTAGAAGAACATAGTAGACCTGAAAAGCACCATGAACCAATTCAACAAAATTAAGATTTATTGTACCATTTTCTAGATTCCACATTTTTGTTCTTACCAGCACTATTTACAATAACCAGGGAAGAGAAGAAGGTGGGGAAGGGCTTTTGCCCTCGGGAGAGGCAGGAGGGGCTGGGGGAGGAAGACCAGGCAGGGTGGGAACTGGAAGATCGAGAGAGATGAAGCTGAGCAGCTGCTGTGAAATGTGCATTTTGGGAAAGAGGGCTGCTACCAGATGACTTGTGTCAAGTGTGGATGTGAATCCAACGTTCTCTCCTCTTCTCCCCTTCAAGAAACCTTCCAGTGAAGGCCTCTGATGCACCCCAAAGTTTCTGGAGTGAAATCTGTATTTATTCTGAATGCAGCAGTGGCTCAGGCTGGCCTCAAGGCCAGCCTGTTTTGTCGGGCTGCACAAAGCTTTGACAGTGAGTTGTTCAGAAAGCTTGTCTGTCTTATTCTTTGTTTAGCAAGTGCCCGCCCTTCCTGTGTTCTCACCATGCTGGTTGAATGTCATTGTTAAAAGCCTGTCGTCCTGTATTGTGTAGTGGCCTTGGGATGAGTGTAGGGGACCAGGTACCTCCAAAGGCGGCATGAGGCAATGGTCCCCAGGTTAGACCCCTGCCCTTTCCATCGTCATCTTTTCCGCGGAACCACACGCCCTTTCTTAAGTAGATCATCCTGTCCTCTCACTGTCTGCAGGTTTGTGTCTGTCCCCAGTACTCTACTCACCCCAGCAATGCAAGCGGAGCATATCCATTGCTCATCTTGCTCTTAGAGATGACTGCAAACAAACAGCTTAGAGCACAGGGCCCCTTGACTGCCGTAGGAACTGTAGGATGTTGCAGACTTAGAGAAGGGACTGGGCTTGGGGACACAGGGAGGGTAAGGCATGAACCAAGAGAGCAGCATTGACATCTATACATTGCCTTGTGTAAAGTGAAAGTGAAAGTTGCTCGGTCATGTCCAACTCTTTGCGACCCCATGGACTATACAGTCCAGTATAGTCAGTGGAGTGGGTGTTGCCTTCTCTAGGGGATCTTCCCAACCCAGGGATCGAACCCAGGTCTCCCGCATTGCAGGTGGATTCCTTATCAGCTGAGCCCCCAGGGAAGCCCTGCCGTGTGTGAGATGGACGGCTAGTGGGAAGCCGCTGTATGGTACTCGGTGTTTTGTGATGACCGAGAGGGTGAGGGAGAGGGAGGGGACGCGTGCACACACAGCTGATTCAGGTGGTGGTACAGCAGAGACTAACACACACTACAAAGCAACTATACTCCAACTAAAAAAAAATAATGTTAGCAGCACGGAACGCTGGGCTTCCCCCTAGTGAGGTTTGCCCCCCGTCATCTCCTGTCCGCTGCTGACTTCCCTACCCCAGTGCAAGCTCCAAAGAGGCATTCACCAGGTCTGCCTTGATCATAGTGATATGCCTGGACCTAAGGGCATGTGGGTGCCTAACACTGTGACTGAGTGGTTTGTCTACCGATGGCTTCCATGTTCCTGGTGGAAGAACCACAGTCTAAAGAGCAAGCGGGAGCCTCCTTCACTGCCCCATTGCTCTTCCAGGGTCCAGGATAAAGAGCTGACGTACTGCCTTGACAGTCTTTGCAACGTGAAATCATGGGTTTTTACTCTCTAACCTTCTCTAGAAATCCCTTTGACCAAGGAGGACACAGAATTTGAACCAGCTGGATCCAATTCCTCAAAGAGTGAGTGATACCTGAACCCAGGTATCAGACCCGTGGGCCCATGTCCTTGCTTGGACAGTGTCCAGAGGCAGGGTGACCCAAGGGCTCAGGGCTACCTCCATCCAGACCAGACAGGCCGGGGTGAATAGCGTCTCACCCCCTCGGAGCCCGGTGACCACAGGCCATGGTTTCCTCAATCTGTAAACAAGGCCCAGTGGTAGATCTGAATCCTAGGGCTACTGTGAAGATGAGGGGGGATTTTTTTTGGGGGGGAGGGGAGCTTCCCTGATGGCTCAGATGGTAAAGAATCTGCCTGCAACGCAGGAGACCCAGGTTCCATCCCTGGATCAGGATGACCCCCTGGAGGAGGGCGTGGCAACCCACTCCAGTATTCTTGCCTGGAGAGTCCCATGGACAGAGGAGTCTGGCGGACTACAGTCCTTGGGGTTCTAGAGAGCTGCACATGACTGAGCGACTCACACAACGCAACAATTCTGAGGATGAGGGTTTTTATTCTTTTGATCAGGCTGCATGGCACGTTGGATCTTATTTCTGCAATCAGGGATGGGACCCACACCCCCTGCATTGGACGTGCAGAGTCTAGGCCACTGGATCACTAGGGAAGTCCCCTGAGGGGGAATCTTAACACAGAGAAGAGTATTTAAAAGTGTGGTTGGCATATAGGAGTTATTCTGCACACGGCAGACTTTAGTAACAAGCAGAGCTGCACCATGTGTGTTCTGCCCGTTCAGAGTCGCTCAGCTGGGAGCCAGGAGGCTGTGGACTCTGAGCGTTCCCGACTTCCGCAGCAAGGGAGCCGTGCAATTAGAACTCACGCCACGGTGGGGCGAGGGGCTCCTGGGGCACCCTGGGGGCTCCCGCACGCCTCCCCCCAGCCCTGGCTCTCAGCCCTCTTCACTCTCAGTGAACGCCTTTTCTTCTCGGAGCCTCAGCTTCCTCATCTGAGCGGTGGGAGTGGTCCTCTCTGCCCTGTCACGTCCACAGGCAAAAGGGTTGGGTGAGAAGGTGCTTTTCAACAGGAAGAATAGAAGGGTCAGGCTTCCCGGGTGGCTCAGTGGTAAAGAATCTACCGGCCAATGCAGGAGACACAGGTTCGATCCCTGGGTGGGGAAGATCCCCTGGAGAAGGAAATGGCAGCCCACTCCAGTGTTCATGCCTGGAGGATCCCATGGACGGAGGAGCCTGGCGGGCTACAGTCCAGGGGGTTGCAAAGGGTCGGCCATGACCAAGACCCTGAGCAGGCACTTTCCAAACAAGTGAGTTGTGTGTGTGTGTGTGTGTGTGTGTGTGTGTGTGGCAGGGAGGGGTGTGGGAGGTGGGAGAGGAGGACAGAAGAGTTTTGAGCTGGAAATGCTTCTCCTGCGAGAAATTGCAGAGAATCTGTTTCTCAGAAACCAGGCGACCTCAAGGGGAGGCCAGCCGTCCAGTTCGTGGGCTCCATCTGCGCTCACAGCGGGTGATGCCAGGGGCGGTGGCAGAGTGCCCGGGCCGGCAACACCAACACCCGGGCAGCCAGGAAGAGGGGCTGACATCTGTGTGGGGGCGGAAGCGGATGTGGCATTTTTAGTTGGAAAACAATATGCATTTGTCAGGGTTTGCTCTTTCTTTTCTAAATACAGAACATTTGGGGAGAGGACGAGAGGGACGAATACTGATTTCCCCTCCAGGAGGGGATGATGGACAGCAGAGATGGCAGGAAACGTGGTTCCTTCGCCCCTCGCACCTCCGCCCACCCCACCCCTCATCCATCCCATCTCCTTCTCCACCCGCCTGCCTGCCCTGCTCCGCCTGTCACTCTCTCCCTCTCCTTCCTCGCGTCCAAAATGAAGTTGTTGCCAAGGTTAGGGTGAAAAGGGCTTTCCAGTTGGCTCAGTTAGTAAAGAATCCACCTGCTGAGATGAGTGTTCGATCCCTGAGTCCTGAAGATCCCCTGGAGGAGGAAATCAGCAACCCACTCCAGGATTCTTGCCTCTCAAGATAAGACTGAACAGCTCCGTGCTGCATTATGCCTCTTCCCTCTGGCTTCAGTCCCTACTGGGTGCCCTGGGCTCCAACTCAAGATACAGTAGAAAAGCTTTGAAGGGACTCTTGGGCTTTTCCCTGGTCTACAGCATGGGTGATACTTCTGCAGAAAGAGACTGTGAGAGAAAACACTTGCCAGATCTCCCTTGTCCCACCCTAACCCTGCTGCCTCCAGCGGTCTGAAAGCAATGGTCTCCGGACGTCATTCCTTCAGGTGCTCCTGAGCGCCTGAGATTCGACTGTCCAAGAGATTGGTCAGCCAGAAGGTCCGGTGTCAAGGGGCATCTCCAGTATCCAGGCCCATTGATGTGCCCCCAGCACCCGGATTTCTGTTTCGGGGGGCACCACGCGTGCTCACTATCAGGGCACACTGTTCTAGGTGGCTGGCCCTTTGCCGGCTCCTGTGGGCACGTGACTCAGGCCTAGCCTAGGAATGTGCCGCAGCAATTGGAGCGGCAATGGGCATGGGCCTCTGTGTCAAGTGAGGGAGACCAAGGAGTTTTGCTGGACCTATCAGGAACACGGCTCTCTCTTTGTGAGCTGCTAAGCTGGGAGGATACAAACGGAAGGTACTAGTGGTCATTGTGGCCATTTCTTGGAAGCCCTTTTGAGAAACAGTCCCAGTTAACATCTGCTGAGCTCCCGGGTCCAGCCATAAACCTGAAGGCAACCAACACACCACTCTTGTGTTTTGATTTTGTTTTGTTTTTTTTCTGTTATGCACACCTAGAAGCAACACTTTCTGGCTTTAGATGGTTTGAGCTTGGTAACTCATCTGCAATGAAGAGAGTCATGACGATTACAGGGACCCAAAGACCAGTCCCTAACCTCTGCAGCCCGCCTGACTTCCGGTTCCGCTGTCCGCAGCCTCAGTTCTAAGCCCTTCGCCTCTAATCTGTAGTCAGTCCCCCTGCTGGCGCCTCATATTCACACGTCCTCCTTGATTAAAGAATAGCATCTGTTTTATTATTAGTAGAAAAATAGCTTAGAACGTCACATAGGGCAGAAGGCAGGGGAGCAGCCAGAGTGTGCGGCCGCCTGGCTTCGGGAATTCAGAGGCGCGAGAGACCTTTGCTTTTTCTTTGGAACTCCCTACCATTTGCTCAGCACGAAAGGGCCTTCCCTCTAGCTCAGTCACCTTCTTAATCCAGGAGTGGTAGTTTTCTAACAGGGTGTATATTCCTGGAGTGTTCTTCAGGCCACAGGACCTTCCCCAGCTGATGATGCCCACGTGGTACCACTTCTTGCCAGACCCTTGGGTACAGGCTAGGGCCCCCCCGCTGTCGCCCTGCGGACAGAGAACACAGATCAGCAGCGAGCCCCGTCTCAGCGGTCCATCTGAGGACAGCACAGCTCACTCACTGCGGAGGGCTCAGGAACCTCCCCACTCTGAGAGCCAGCGAGCGAAATCTTGTCCCTGCCAGTCAGCGCCCGCCCCATCCCCCCCCGTCCCGGCAGCCGTCGTGGGGGTGGGTCGCCGCCTGAACCCTGCAGACCACCACGGTTCGTGGAGGTGGGCTGAGCAGGGCCCCCGCCCCACCCCCACGACGGCTGCCGGGACACCGGGATGGGGCGGGCGCCCTGCTCAGCCCACCTCCACGAACCGTGGTGGTCTGCAGGGTTCAGGCAGCGACTGGGCCGGGACTGGGGAGGGAGGCGGAGGCGGAGGGCTGGCGAGAGAATGACTCCATTCCACGTGCAACACCAAGGCGGGGAGCTGGAACACGGAGGGTGTGTCGCCCAGGCTGAGGAAGAGTAGGGACCCGTTTTGCGGGTCTTAAATCAGAAACGCTGGACAGAAGGGAATGAAGGAAAACAGGCTGCGGTTGGGGCTGTGGGTAGGAACTGGGTCTCCTTTGATGTTCTTCCAGAGGCGTGCGGGTGAAGTATGTCTCTTTTTAATCCTGAGGTGTGGGTGTTTGCAGGGGGCATGTGAGCTAAGCTCTTTTGAATGCATGGCTCCTCCAGGGTGGAATCACATGGGTCTATGACTCAGAGAATTATCTATTTATATAGAAAATATGTATCCAGTCTGCACCGCGTCCCACACATGGATATGGCTTCCTTTTGTCCATATTAATACAGGGAAAATGAGGCTTAAGGCGGATGAAGGGCTTACTCAGGTTTACATGGCCTTGGGGCCAAAGTTGGAACCAAGCCTTCCTGATGCCAAGCGTATGTTCTTTCCCTCCGGCAAGGGGGGTGGGTTGGTGGCTACAGTCGTTCAAACCATCTTCCTTTCTTACCGGAGGGATGGCCTCCTATTCCATGATCATAAACAAGGAACTGGAATGAGTGAGATTTTATATGAACTCTTAAGGATGAGGAAGAGGATCAGCACTTCCCGGACGTGACGTCCAAGGCCCATGCTTACTGCAGTGGAAGTGCGGAGTTGTAACCACTGGACCCCCAGGGAAGTTCCAGTGTATGCTTTTCTTTGTGTGACTTCTAGTTCAGGGTCGTGTGATGAGAACCAAATCAATAGGATTTCCACTCAAACAGCCCCTTCCATAAGTGCTGTTTTTAATCATTTTTCTTCATGTTATGATAGTATGAATATTATTTAAAAACCTATTTAATATACTGATTATTTCCTTACATAACTGGAAGAGAACTATGCTTGAAAACGTAACTTCTAAGCCCGTTTCTGCATCGTTATAATGGAGATACTACCAATTATTTCCCAAGAGTGCTGGAAGTGAAATTTTAAAAATCTATAAATCACTCAGCATAGGATAAATTCTGTGTAGTAAATGCCCTAGAGATATATTAGTATTTATTTACCACTAGGGTTCCCAGGTGGCCTTGGTGGTAAAGAACCTGCCTGCCGATTCAGGATACATAAGAGACCTGGGTTCAATCCCTGGGTTGGAAAGATCCCCTGGAGGGGGCCATGGCTACCCACTCCAGTATTCTTGCCTGGAGAATCCCATGGACAGAGGAGCCTGGAGGGCTAGAGTCCACAGGGTCGGACAGAGTTGAACACGACTGAAATGACTTCCCGTGCACGCATTACAAATACTACTTGTATATTTAGGAATCAGAGGATACTTTCTTAGACTGCTGGAACTCCAGAGGGACATCTGTAAATTTATGTTCTTTCATGCATAGAGCCTTTAATATTTTTCTCGTTCTCTAGGAAAGGCAGGAAGGATTATCTCAGAGGAGGATCTGGCCTCAGGCAGCAAGGACCCAGGACTAATGACAGTCCACGTAATAGGAACTTTGTTTCTAGACCAAGGCTGGTAGCCAGAGACTGGTCTGGTTAGAAACACACTGACCACAGAACCTGCTAAGTTCATCGCCATGTTAATTACATCACATGATCATCCTGTCTGTTTTGTGAGAAGCACATGACCTGGCTTCCAGCCTGGCCCCACTACCTCAGGCAAATCACTTAAATTCTGAAATTTCTATTTTCTCAGAGAGAATGAGACTTTCCCACACCCATTTTACAGGGTAGTTGGAGAGAATGAAATTATTGAATACGTGTGAAAGAGCTGTGAAGTTATTACACTGCTTTGGATCCATTCAGATAGTGAAGAGGATGATTGATGATTAAAATAACCATGTTTTCTCATCTGTGAAACAGATGCAATTAAACATTTTTTTTTCACATGTCTTTCTGGCTCTAAAAGTCTAAGGCTCTATGGAGTGAAATAAGACTTTTATGCAAGTATCATGGGTGATGACGGGTTCATAACACCCTGGCAAGTAGCCCAGGACGGTGAGAATACTCTGTGGTGCCATCCATTATGGTGCATGTCATTATATGTTTAATCACAGACCGGGCAATACCAAGAACGAATGCTAATACAAACCATGGGCTTGGGGTGATTGTGATGCATCAGTGCAGGTTCATCAGTTATAACACAGGTGCCACTCTGATGGGGATGCTGATAACAGGGAAGATGATGCATGTGGGGAGGGGCAGGGGGGTTATGGAAAATCTCTCTACCTTCCTCTCAATTTTGCTATGAACCTCAAACTGCTCAAAAATTAAAAAAAAAAAAAAGATCTTTAAAGAGAGTATTGGGTTGGTTGAAATGTTTGTTCATAATAGCTTACAGGAAAACCTGAACAAATTCTTTGGCCAACCCAATAGCTCAGGTTGACCTCCAACTCAGCTTGGCAGCCCCGTGACCACATTGCCTGACAGCCCAGTTTGCTGCCAGCTCTTAACCACTGTCCACCATGGTCTCTCTCTTGGATGTCCCCTCCGCTAAGATTACTGTTATATTACAGGCAGTTTTCAGCTTCCTAGGAAGGTTCATCTCTTTGGCAGACATTTTTGTTGAGTATTTTCCATGCCAGGCACTGTTTGAGACACTGGCCAACCATGAATAAGACGACATTTCCGCCAGGATTGAGGAGACGGACAAGAAAACTGTGTAGCAAGGTGATGCCTGTTTCTCGGACGGCTGTTGGTCCTTCACAAGAACTACTGCATAGCTAGCTGGGGAACTATTTGATTTTATATTTTGCTGGATTGTGCCACTGATTTTTTAAGTTGAATGTTTTTAAATAGTCTAATTAATAGGGGATTACAAGGAGGAAATGTGCTGGAAAAAGTAAACCACAAAATTCAATTGATTCTATTTTAATTTGTATTTTAAGGATAGCATAATCTTGCTATTACTTTGGACATATTTCAATGTTTTCATAATCCAATTATAATTTCCCTTCATTATGTGATTACATTTTTTTCCCCAACTTTGCTAAGTTTAAAAGTGTGATTTTATTTTTAAGGGCAATTATTTTTAAAGCCTAAGGGAATTTCTTGTCTGGTTTATCTGGCTTTAAGTGATGATAATATTACATAATTTCAGAAAACTTTCCTTACCCAGATCACTGTCAGCTGATTAAACAGAGAGTGAAACTTTTCACATCATGATTTATTTTAGAAAGGGCTTAAAAGGATAACAACACATTTATTTATAGCACTCAAGTTATAGAAAGTTAATTTTAGAAGCTTTCATTAAAGTACATTTTGATAAGGGAGGGATTTAAGCAAAAAATCCTAAACTCCAGATGGTAACCACAGAAAATATCATCTTGACACTTGTGTTGCCATTGTTGGCTTTGACCATTTGAATATCGGATGGTGATAAATCAGAGAGATGGAAAAGATAGGTATGCATACTGATGGGACTTGAGTCTTATATTCTTGGGTGAACAGCAGGGGCAAAAGCCTGGGTCAACCCTGGTCTCCCCGCATGGCCACCCACCCTGGTGATCTTGCTCTGCTTGCCTCCACACTCATCCCCTGTTACTTCTGGCTTCTGAAATATTGAAAGTTCCCTGAACACACGATGCTGTTTCAAGCCTCTGGGACTTTCTCCCAGTTCTACTAAATGTTGTTTCCCCCTTTTCTATTGCTATTGGTCTCCTTTGTCTCCTACTGCAACATGAACTGGCTGCTCCCTAGGTCTGTGACATGGCTAGGATCCAAGATTTTCTTTTAATCCTTGTTGCTGAGATGCAAGAGATGCAGGTTTGATCCCTGAGTCAAGAAGATCCCCTGGAGAAGGAAATGGCAATCTCTTCCAGTATTCCTACTGGGAAAATCCCATGGACAGAGGAGCCTGGTGGACTACAGTCCATGGGGTCAAAAAGATTTGGACATCACTGAGCATAGCACAGCACAGCAAATTGGGAAGAGGTGTCTTCTGTTTGTTATCTTATGTGTAACTGTAGATTCATGTGCAGTTGAAAGAAATAATACAGAGGGATCCGACATACCCTTTACAAGTTTCCCCCAGTGAGACCATCTTGCAAAAGTATGTATGGTACAATAGCACCATTGGGAGTATTAATACTGATACAGTCAATACACAGAACTCGTCCATCAACCAACGGATCCCCCATGTTGCCCTTTTAAGGCCGTTTCCACTTCCACTTCCTTCCAGCCCTAAACTCTCCTTAAATCCTGGCAATCACTAACCTATTCTCCCTTTCTTTAATTTTGTCATTTCAGGAGTTTTATGTAAATGGAATCACACAGTGTGGGACCTTTGGGGTCAGCTTCTTGCACACAGCACAAATCTCTGGGCACATCCATGTCATTGCTATATCAATAGTTTGAGAGATTGCTTCTTGTCACAGCTGAGTGGTATTGCATAGTATGGATGTACCACAGCATATTCAGTTATTCACATCTTGTAGGATGTTTGCTTCCAATTTCAGTCTATGATGAGTAAATCTGCTATAAGCACTCCTGCATGTTTTTTGTGTGAACACAAGGCTTCATTTCTCTGGAATAAATGCCCAGGAATGGCATTTGCTGGGTTATAAGGCAAGAACACCTTCAGTTTTTTTTAAAAACTACAAAATTGGTTTTCAGAGTGATTAAATTATTTTAAACCCTGCCCCACCCCTGACTCCCGCCTCTAGCAATGTATTCATGATCCAGTTTCTCTGTGTTCTTGTCAGCATCTGGTGTTACTTTTTTTTTTTAATTTTAACCATTCTGAGGTGTGTAGTAGTTTTAATTTGCATTTTCTGATTGTAGTTCAATTTGCATTTTCTTGATGACGAATGACATTGACCATCTCTCCATTTTATTTGCCATCTGTATATCCTCTTCAACAAAATGTCTATCCTCGTCTTTTGCCCATTTTTGCACTGGGTAGTTTGTCTTTCTGCTTTTGAGTTGAGAGTGCTTTATATATTCTAAGCATAGTTCCTTTGTTGGATATCACCTCCCAATCAATAGCTTGTAATTTCATCCTCTTAGTTTTAATTTATTTTATATATATATATATATATTATTTGAGTATAATTGTTTTATGATGTTGTGTTAGTCTCTGCTGTACAATATATCCCCTCCCTCATCCCTTTTTTAAAAAAATTATTTTTATTTGACTTCGCCGGGTCTTAGTTGAAGCATGTGGGATCTAATTCCCCAACTAGGGATTGAGCCCAGGCCCCTGGCATTGGGAGCACGGAGTCTTAGCCACTGGACCACCAGGGAAGTTCTTCCCTCACCCTCTTAATATGGTCTTTTTAAATTTTGATGAGGTCCCGTTGATCAATTTTTCTTCTTATGAGTTATATTTTTGGTGTTACTCTATGTCCCAAAGATTTATCTTTTCCTAAATAATTTGTATAGTTTTGCATTTAAGTGCATGATTCATTTCATGTTTTAATTGAATTTACTCCAGGAATTCATAGTTCTCAATTTTTCAAAAAAAGACTTTTTTAAAGCAAGCTGCTTGGCTTTGTTTTTAATTTTTATACATTTATTTATTTAGATCTTAGTTGCCCCATGAGGGATCTTTTTGCTGGGCATACAAACTCTTGGCTGTTGTGGCATGTGGGATCTAGTTCCCTGACCCAGGACTGAACCCAGGCTCCCTGCATTGGGAGCACAGACTCTTAGCTGCTGAACTACCAGGGAAGTCCTCCCAAAGAGTTCTTTACTCAGATGTTTAGTTTTATTTTTCCTTATCTTGTGTGCATTAATAAATGGAATCCATGTATATTAATGCAACTCTCTATTCTATTACAGATAACGTCTTGAGTATTAGGTTACAGGATTCTGGTTCTCATGTGAATCACCTGTTTTAACAGGCTTCTTGTGAAACTGGAGTGGGGGAAGGGGGATGTCAACTCCTTTCCATTAAATCGGGGTAGAAGTCAAGACTCCCCACTCAGGCCAGCAATGACACCAAGGGAAGGAACAGGAGTGTGACTACTACTGGGTGGGAGCCCCAGCTCCTCATGTGGCTTCCACCAACACCGAGGGGGACAGAGGATGGTTCGTACGACTGGATAGTAAAGTCCTGCCTTTCCATTCAGCCTCCTCCGACACCACCATGGTGGGCAGAAGTGGGGAGGGTGAGGTTGTCCCCTAGACCTTGCTTGCTGGGGTAGGAGTGCTATGGGGTTTTTCCTGGTATATTGCTGGAATAGAAGGATTATTGTTAAATAGTTTCTGCCTTGCTAGATTGTCCTTTCTTTTCCTCCAAAGAGAGGAAGTCTTTCTTGTTTTATTTTGTTAGTTTGTATTATGACCATTGGCATTTCCCCCCTAGCTGGTCCTAGGAAATACAGTGCCCTAATGTACTATGGGACTGATGCTGAAGCTGAAACTCCAATACTTTGGCCACCTCATGTGAAGAGTTGACTCATTGGAAAAGACCCTGATGCTGGGAGGGATTGGAGGCGGGAGGAGAAGGGGATGACAGAGAATGAGATGGCTGGATGGCATCACCGACTTGATGGACATGGGTTTGGGTGGACTCCAGGAGTTGGTGATGGACAGGGAGGCCTGGTGTGCTGCAATTCATGGGGCCGCAAAGAGTCGGACACGACTGAGCGACTGAACTGAACTGAACTGAACTGAATGTATGATGATCCAGGCTGGGAGGTAACAGGTGAAAAGAAAACCCAGGGAATTCACTGCTGTATCATGCCTTAAGTAGTAGGATATTTGTTTCCAATTTCATCTTCTCTTTCCCTTCCAGAGCCTTTACTTTTGTTTCACAATATAATGTCCAGGGCTTTCTGCTGTATTTAGAGAGAGGGATCAAGAGAAATGTGTCTACTTCATCTTGTCCAGAACTAGAAGTTCCAATTATCTTGTTTTGTTTTGGAATGTTTCAAATTGTCAAGGATATGGGGAAAACACAAGGCTTGTGTGACATTGGTTCTGTATCTCTCTGTGGTCCTCACAATGTTCACCATAGGGGGGACACCTTCTAAAACAGATGCCATTGCTGCTGGGGTTCACTCTTTCCTACCTCACAGCCTTTGCATGAGACAGCCTTTTCGTCACTTGTAGAGCATCTAATACCCACACTTACAGTTTCACACTGATGACCAGATCTGCTGCCCAACTGATGAGTAGGACTAAATGGGCTCCTCAAGTGAGCACTCCCAAGATGAATCTCTCCCGTCCTTACAACCAGAGGAAGTTAGTTTCTGATTCTCACACTTTCCCCAAACTCTTACTGTCTGCTTCCCCTTTGCACTGGCCACCCCAGGGGATGCACTGTACCACCCCAGGTACCCCCAAGTTACCTGGCAAGAATCATAGCTCTCATTCTCATATCCAGCACATAGCATGTTTTTGGTAAGTTTGGGAAATTCCTTAAAACACGTGTTCCAGTTCATTATGGTCATGGGCGCTTTCAGCAGTTCAGTTTCCATAGCCTCGTTGAGACCTGAACCACGGAGAAGGCCCGTCAGAACGGTCACTGGACTCCAGCCCCATTGCTGCTAATGCAACCCAGCGGGCCCCAGGCCATCCAGCCCAGCATCCCACCAGCCACCCAGCCACCCAGCCACCCTTTTTTCACATTTTCACAGAACCTCATTCTCCACATCCTTCCAGTAATCCCTTGAAATTTACTCATTCCATCGGCCCAGGCTCTTCCAAACAAGTCCCCATCTATGTAAATTTTTCCTCCCATTCAAAATCCTATTCCTGCCTCCAGGAAGACTTCCATCTTGGCTCCAGCATCCCCACCGACCTGACTTCTTAGAACTGGCTGTTGATCAGTTCTTACATAGTCCCACCTCTTCAAGCCGTATTTGCCTAGCGCCCCTCTCTATTATGTGAGTTTGGCACTTTTGACACAGTGCCACTGCAACTGGGTTTGCACCCTCAGTGAGAAACTCTCAGGTCCCCCAGACAAAGGCAGGGTAGGTTGGTAGAGAGTCTTTTTTGTTTTCTAATTTAACGATTTGTCAATTGAAGGATAATTGCTCTACAGAATTTTGTTGTTTTCTGTCAGCGGTTGACAGGTTCCACAGGGGGTCTGCCAAGGCCCTTCCTGGACTGCCAGCTTCCAGGAATTTGTCTGTATTTGTCTCCATCTCATTAACTCTGACCACACGGAGATTTCAAAAGTATTATTCTTATTGCATATTTTTAATTTTGCAGGAACCCACCCGCCTCTTCCTCACTCCTAAATTTTGAGTCATGTCTGAAGCCCTGAATCAGCGTTAACACCAATTACCCCCCAGTCACTTAGCTCCTGAAATACCTACCATGTTTCGGACCCCAGCTTCTTGCAAAGCATCCCCTAAGGACCTGTAGTCTTGTTCAGGCCTGAACTAGTGCTGTGCTGTTCCCACCCCTCCCACACCTATGTTATTGAGTTTTCTTTGGGGACAGTTCAGTGAAGACTTTCATAATCCATTTATACCCTGGTCCAGCTTCTCCTATCTGGGCCAAGCAACAATGTGTTGACAAGTAACAAGAACAGATTCACTTCTAAGAATGGGTGGGCAATACTCCAGGACCATCGAAAGTCTAGGCCAGGGCAGGTGTCTTGAATGCCTGTAGGAATCAGGTGGAAAGCATGCGTGCATGGATCAGGGAGATGAGAGACACCAGAGCAGAGAGCCCCTGGCAGGCGGGAGGTTTTGCATTCAATGCTGCCAACAAGAGGGTTGTGCGCTGGCTGGCAAGGGAGGACCACACCCAGGGATGCCCACACCTGACATCTCAGCGCTGGGCCTTGGCGGGGGCTGGGGGGTGTTTCCTTGGTAACTTGGAAGAGGCTGAGATCAGGCCTCCCTGGGTTTCTCGTGTTCAGGGATTAGCCCTGAGGCAAACCCCTCGCCCTCCCTTCCTCAGCTCACTCTCTCTTTTGCCTTTTCCTCTAGGTTTACTGGCCCATCCTCAGATGCCAGTGATGCTGCACCCAGGAGATGCTGAGCTGTGACGTACCGGATTTGACCTGCCCCCATCCTGCCACCCAGCAGTTGTGCCACTTGGAGAGGCCGGGCTGCATGGGCAGGCAGATGGGTTGTTTCAGCTCGTTGAATCTGATGGGCTTGTCCAGCATCAGTAGAGCGATGTCATTGTCCATGTTGACTCTTTGAAAGTCCTTGTGAAGAATGATGGTTGTGACTCCCTCTATCTCCAGGGATGGGCTGGTTAGGCTATTGGTTCCCAGCACAACTCTCAGTTCTGTGGGCCTGGTGGAGGCAGAGAACCAGAGAGGGAGGAAAGTCACAGGGGGCCCAGAATCTGCTACGGCTAAACCCTAAACCCCACGTGGTCCTACTAGCCTTCTGGACTTGTCCTCCTGGGGCTGTTGCTCAGAGGTTGCGAGCATTTGTAAAAGGTAGAGAAGGAAGGTGAAACAGCCAGTGTGGGACCACAGCCGCCTTGGCGCTCCAGCATCATCCCAGAGACCCGAATGAGACAGTCCCGCCTCACTGGGCAAAGGCAGGACTTAGCTTTGCCCCTCAACCACCTGCCCAAAGAGCCCACAAAAGACCACTTAGCACAGATCAGACACTGGCAGACACAAACTAGCCCTCAGATAGGTAAGGGATTCTGATATCAACCTGTGTACCAGCAACTTAGAGACTCAGATTTTGTTTGCTTGCAACATACACAACTGACCAAAGTTAAATATTCAGAATATATAAAGAGATTATACAAATAAAAAACTGTCAAAGCTTGAACAGTCATTATAGGAGAGAAAATATACCAATAAACTTGAAAATATCAATGTAGCAGTAGTAAGAAAAATACATATTATGGCCACAAAGATAATAGTTTTTCACGCCTATCAGAAAAGCAAAAATTAAAAGTTCTGAAAAAATAGCAAGTATTGATGATGATAACAACACTTATATACCATTGGGGGAAATTTAAATTGGTGCAACCATTTTGAAAAGTCATTTGATGTCTTCTAATAAACTTGAAGATGTACAGCCCTATGATTCTACAACTTCTCTCTTAGAAATAGACTCTTGTACACATATATAGAAGGCCCATGCAAGAATCAAGAATGGAATTAAATCTAGACCTGCCATTGATGGGGCTGCCCAGGTGGTACTAGTGGTAAAGAACTCACCTGCCAATGCAAGCGACTTAAGAGACTGAGGTTTGATATCTGGGTTGGGACAACCTCCTGGAGGAGGACATGGCAACCCACTTCAGTATTCTTGCCTGGAGAATCCCATGGACAGAGGAGCCTGGCGGCTACTGTCCTTTGGGCCACAAAGAGTCAGATATGACTGAAGCAACTTAGCATGCAAGATGCTTTGCCACTGATGAAGCAGAAAGACTCTTCAGGAATTTCCTTCCAGGCAGAATGGCCAGGAACTTTCCAATCCCTAAGTATCCCATGGGAGCAGATGCAACCAGTTTCCTTGGTTACCCCAGGGTGAAACTTTCCCTGTGGTTTTGATTAACCCTTTAAAGTTCATCTTTCTATATATCTTCAATCTTTCATGAGATGGTGGAGCAGAAAAGTACAAGTGCTAGAAGTGGATTTAAATGCTATTTCTTGTCTGCTAGATGTGTACCTTGGGTGAATCACCCAACCTTACTGGGCTTCAGTTTCCTTCCCCATAAGATAAAGATGTTCATTTAAGCTGCCCCAGGGTTGTTGTAAGATCGAATGAGTTCAAAGGGAGCAATTCATTCTGCCTTCCTCAGGGTTGGTGTATATATAATTAAATCAGTTAATGCACATGGTTTCTTAGAACATGATTTGTAATCACTAAATGCTCTATTTTCCACCAGTCTCCTGGAATGCAGAGAAAACTCTACACAGGGCAGGGAAGTCAGGTGTCAGACGGCCCAGGAACTGAGACCTCCAGAATTTGGAGAACTTCCACCGAAAAGGACTTGAATGTCACAGGAGAGGTAGACAGACCAATCCCCAGGGTGGAAGGTAGTGGGTGGTAAAGTCTGATTCGGGATGCAGCAACTCCATAACTCCCCTGGGCAATCGGGCTTGGCTGAGTGTGGGGTGCCCTGGGGGCACACACTGTCAGAAGAGATGGGATGAACTCAGTACTTACGGTAACTGCTCTGGGTAAAAGCAGTGAGCCGCCGTGATAATCCACCACTCGTTGAGGATGGCGCCACCACAGACATGTTCATTTCTTGCCTGAACACTCACCTGCCATGGAAACTCACCCACCCCAGCCTCTATCCCTCCTGTGATTCTGGAATACTGAGCTCCTCTTGCAAACATGGGTCTTTCACCACATTCTGGTAGAATGAGAGAAAGGAAGGCAAAAGATGCAACAGTCAATACCTATAGGAGATCCATAAGTAGCTATCATTATACCCATTCTAGAAATGGGGAAACTGAGGCTGGCCCAGTGAAGCACCTTAGAACACGAGTAAGCCAACAGAGGCTTCACATTTGTTTCCCAGAGCCTGGGACATGATCACAAGCGTTGACTCTGTCTCCCTTCCAGATAAGCAAGTCACTTTACCCTGCTAGTTTCTGCTTTCATCCAGGAGAAAGCAGAGGGAATACCTGCCCAGACCAATCTGTAGTGCTTGGCAGAATAATGCCTCCCTCTCAAAAGATGTCCATGTCCTAATGGACCATGATTTGGAACCATGAATATGTTGTCTTATGAGGCAAAGGGGACTTTGAAGGTGGAATGAAAGTTGCTAATCATCTGATCTTAAAATGGGGAGAGTGTCTTGGATAACCTGAGTAGGCCCACTGTAGTCCCACTGGCCCCTAAGGGTGGTGGAGGACAGCAGAGGGAGAGGGATGTGACTATAGAAGAAAGGCTTGGAGAGGTGCGATATTGCTGGCTTTGAAGATGAAGGAAGGGGCCACAAGCCAAGGGATACTGATGACCTCTAGAAGTCAGAAAACCCCAGTTAATACACTCCCTCTAAAGCTTCCAGTAGAAGCACAGTCCTGCTGACACCCTGATCTTAGACCAGGGAGGCCCATGTGGAAGTCCTACAGAACTATAAGATAAAGCATTTGTGGGACTTCCCAGGCGTTCCCAACGCAGGGGGATTGGGGTTCAACCCCTGGTTGGGGAACTAGCTCCCACATACCACAACTAAGAGCTCTCAAGCCGCAACTTGGGGCTGGCACAAGACAAGGAACAAGGGAAGTGGTTCCCAGGAGGGGCGTGTGGGGTACAGAAGCCACTGCTCTTGGGAGCTGGCCTCTTAGTGGCCATTAGCTTATTTCTGAGCTGCTCCTTGGGCTTCCCAGGTTGCTCAGTGGTAAAGAATCTGCCTGAAATGCAGGAGACCCGGGTTGGATCCTGGGTTGGGAAGATCCCCTGGAGAAGGAAACGGCAACCCACTCCAGTATTCTTGGCTGGAGAATCCCAGGGACAGAAGAGCCTGGCGGGCTACAGTCCACGGGGTCACAAAGAGTCAGACACACACCAAAGGACAATAAGAGCTGTCCCTTTGTCCCTCGGGCTCCCGGCAGGATGGAAGGGAGGGAGCAGTCACACCCAGCCCCACTTGGAGAGTCATTTAGGCCCCCGGGCAGGTGTCCACATACCGAGGTGTGCGTCCCTGGCCTGGGACATGAGCAGCAAAAGGGACCACAGGAGCATGGCCCTGGGCGTGGCTGTCGGCCTGGAGGCGACGGAGGCCAGGGCTGAGGGAAATGACACTGTCAAGGCCTCTGGGTCAGAGCCACCCCCTCCAGTGATGTCACAATGGGCAGCGGGTCTGAGAACCCAGGCCGAGTCACGCGGGCTTCTCCTCTGGCCACTCTGCTTCTGAGATGAGCCTCATTCTAGATGCCTCCTTGACTGAGCTTCCCCTCCTGATGTGTGCACAGCCCTCCCTTCACATCCTCGGGGCGGGGGGTGCCTGGGTGGCCCCTGTCACACTTGGCAGTTTTTAAGGCTCAGCGCCCCCCTGCCGCCCCCACGGTAAATGTGAGCAGAAGGCCTGCGCCAGGGGCTGCCGGCTGCAGCCTTGGAAACAGGAGGCACTCAGGCAGGCGCTCAGAGAGACCCTGAGGTCTGTGCCGCCCAAACCCTGGGCAGTCCAGGTGCCCACAGACTTCCCCACTCAGGCCCCTGAGCTGGGCCAACAGCACGGACCACGGGCTGGTTTCAGAGGCCCCAGCCTCCCCCACGCTCAGCCCAGCAGGCAGCAGTCCCCCTTCCCGCTCTCTCTGGGTTCATTCCATGTGGCCCCCAAACCTCCAGACAGGCCCCTATCCATTGCTAAGGATGGAAAGATCAGACTCACAGGTGGACATACCCAGCCCAAGTCTTTGCTTATGTTATTGGTTCAGCTGTATGATCTGGACCTTACTTTTTTTTTTTGACACTTTCAGTACACGGACTTGGGTGGACTCTGTCCAGGCACCCTCAGTACCACCTTCCTGACCACTGGCCAGGCCTGATGTTTAGACGTGAATCATGTGCTAATTCAGTTCCCAAAGTGAACTCTGGTCATTTTCTAGACTTGCTGTGTCCACCCTGCCCAGTCTTGTCCCCTGTGTTTCCTCCTCTGCAGAAAAGGAATGCTGATGCCCAGACAGTAAAGTTGCTGTGAAGCTGTATAAACTATTATGTGTGCGTGTGTGCTAAGTCATTTCAGTCGTGTCCAACTCTTTGCGACCCCACAGACTAGCCTGCTGGGCTCTCTGTCCATGGGATTCTCCAGGCAAGAATTGGAGTCGGTTGCCATGCCCTTCTCCAGGGGATCTTCCTGACCCAAGGATCGAACTCGCGTCTCTTATGTTTCCTGCATCGGCAGGCAGTTTCTTTACCACTAGTGCCACTTGTGAGGTCCATATGGCCTCCCACTTGTCAAAAATAAATAAACAAACAAATAAATAAATTGTAACTGGAAGGTAAAATCATCATGTTGTTATTAAATAGAAGAAGCATTTTAATAAATAAAGGAAAACTCATTTAAAAAGTTGTTGTGAATCTCAAGACGAAATCATACGCCTTGGGTGGGGCACCTCTTTACTACACCAAGGCTGTGGCCCCAGCTACTCCGGGAGGAGAAATACCAGGACATGGGACTTGCTCCTCCTCCGGGATCAGGGCCTTCTGTGAGCAGCTGCTCTACAGAATGCAGCTGTCCTTGCTGAAGGGAGGGCGGGGCCTGTAATGTGGCCCTCCCCACCGGTGCTGAATAACACCTGCTACCTCGTCTGCCTTGCCTTGACCAAGGGCTAAGCCTTTGTTTCCTGGCACATGGATAAAGATTCCCAGAGCACATTGGGCCACCTGGCCTGGGCCTTGCCTTGGGAAGCTCTGCGTCTTCCGTCTGCTCTTCTTTTGGACTCTGTGCTCCCCTTCTTTTGGACTCCGTGCTCCCCCTCCACAACCCCTGCCCCGTACCTGCTACCTGCCTCCTGATTGCTCTGGTCCTGGAGCAGTGTGTGGAGGGAAATGGAGCCTGGGCCCCCCGTCTGCTGGGAGACTGGAGGACCATGGCCGTCCCTCTGCTGGGAGGCCAGACGGGCACACCTGCCCTAAACTGAGCCCTATCTATTGCGAAACACTCAATCGCTGCCCGGGAGTTTTTGGCCAAGGTTCTTCACAACACCAGTGGCTCCCACCACATCTGAGTCAGTGGAGAGGGTGACCAGTGGGGCCAGGGCTGCCGTGCATGGCTGCTACCCCAGAAGCCGCCATTCCTGTAGACTCTGATGGGAATGTCTCCCTGCTGGAATTGGGCAAACACGGGCTGCCCCATTGTGTATGGAGAGAAACTTAGGAATGTAAGGGATCTGTAGAAATCCCAAGAAGAAAGCAGATACTTGCTGACATGGGCCGCCTGGTGCATGCTCCAGAGTTGGTGCAAAGGCCTCACAGACATCCAGCAAGGATGACAGTCAGACGCCTTGGGGGATGTATTTGGTCTCCTCTTGTGTTCATGCAGGACTTCCCTGGTGGCTCAGTGGTAAAGAACCTGCCTGCCGATGCAAGAGACAAGAGTTCTATCTCTGGATCAGGAAGATCCCCTGGAGAAGGAAATGGCAACCCACTCCAGTATTCTTGCCTGGAGAACCCCATGGACAGAGGAGCCTGGTGGGTCACAGTCCATGGGGTTGCGAAGAGTCGGACACAACTGTGCACACACACTACACATGTTCATGAAGGGACTGGCTGCTCCTGAAAGGTGTCCTTCTGCTTATATTATGCTGCATTATTTAAGAAGTGGTCTATGTGTGGATTCCAGAGTCAGACATACCTAATTGAATCCTGTTTCCAACACCACACAACATTTTTTTAAAAAATAGGGATGGCGTTCATGCTCTAAGTCAACCATGTGCAAGTTGCATTTGTATTTTTATTTATTTGTTTTGGCTGTGTGGGCTCTTCATTGCTGCTCGAGGACTTTGTCTAGTTGTGGTGGGAGGACTTATTTGACCCATGGCATGTGGGATCTTAGTTTCCTGACTAGGGATCAAACCTCCATCCCCTACCTTGAAAGGCAGATTTTTAGCCACTGGATCACCAGGGAAGTCCCTGATGTCACACTTCCCTGAAGGGCCTTGTGCTGTGCTGAGTCGCTCAGTTGTGTCCGACTCTGCGACCCCATGGACTGCAGCCCGCCAGGCTCCTCTGTCCATGGAATTCTCCATGCAAGACTACTGGAGTGGGTTGCCATTTCCTTCTCCAGGGGACCTTCCCGACCGAGGGATGGAACCCAGGCCCCCAACATTGCAGGCAGATGCTTTGCCATCTGAGCCACGAGGGAGCCCCTAAAGGGCGTTAGACAAGCTGCTGTCCTCTCGGAGTTTCCCTCATCTCTACACGGGGGGTTTACAACTGTCAGAGTTGACATGAGGATTGGCTGGGGTGACAGTGTATCTTCGCTTTGGCTGCTACAACAGCATTGCTCAAGAACTGGGATATTGGAGTAAATGAAAAAAAAAATCTCTTGCTCTCACTAATGTTATAGTCTAGTAGAAGGGACCACCTCAGATGATCATAAGTGCTATGGAAAAAATTAAAGAAAGCGGAGAGAGCATAAGAAATGGGGTTGGAGAAAACCGCAGGTGTTGTTTTCATTTTGATTTTTTTATTTTTAATTTACTTGGCTGTGCCAGGTCTTAGTTGTAGCATGCAGGATCTTAGTTGAGTCATATAGGATCTAGTTCCCGGACCAGGGATCGAACCCGGACCCCCTGCATTGGGAACATGGAGTCTTAGCCACTGTACCATCATGGAAGTTCCACAGGGGCTGATTTTAGTGGAGTGGGGAGGTCTCCTGGACAGGGTGACAGAAGAGACCTGAAGGAAAGAGGGAGCAAGGCTTGTAGATAATTGGGGACCCTCAAAGGTAACAAGGAAACTTGTGATATTTTGATATAAGAAGAAATATACGTTCTGATCTTTATTCGGACTTCTGACCAGAGCTCCTAAACCCTTTTTAATTTCCTAAGTGATCAGAATGATAGGAACATCTTTGCTTTGGTATTTGCTTTATTTTTTTCCCTGGCTTCTAAAACAGCTCTAAAGTGATAAAGGTGAAAAGAGCATCTTTTGTTATTCATAACAAGCCCCTTTCAACCCCACCTGAGTTTGTGTTAATGAGGTGATTATTTTTCTGTAAATTTGTTTTACTCATTGATCTATCATCATGAATCAATAATTTCGCAATAAATATTTAATTCAAGAGACTAGCTTACTAAAATGAGCATCACACTCTTGTAAGAGTGGTTACAACTCGGTGTGAACCAATGATGTGTTGTGCTTAGGCGCTCAGCCGTGTCCAACTTTGTGACACCATGGGCTGTATCCCACCAGGCTCCTCTGTTCATGGGAATTCTCCAGGCAAGAGTGGGTTGTCATGCCCTCCTGTAGGGGATCTTCCCAACCCAGGGATCAAACCCAGGTCTCCCACATTGTAGGCAGATTCTTTACTGTCTGAGCCCCCAGGGAAGCCCATGAACCAATGATACACGGTACATGTTGCATTTAGTATCTACTTTCATTGCTTACCTGTCACAGTTTACATTGAGGTATTTAGAAAGAGATTTCAAACTATGTTTACATTTTCCCTAAAGTCATAAAGTGGGTTCAAATGCACTCTTATTGCATCAGTTAGGTGACTTTTGAAAAGCCCCTAACGATGGGGGCTGGTTGCCAGGCAGACCAGCCCCCTGGTTAGAGGTTTGGAACTTTCAACCGCAGCCCCGGACTTTTAGGGAGGGGAGAGGGGCTGGGGGTTGAGTTAATCACCAATAGCCAATGATTTAACCAATCATGCCTGTGTAAGGTCATGCCTGTGTCAGGAAGCCACCATGGAAACCCTAAATGAAGGGGTTCGAACGGTTTCTGGGTTGTGAGCATACGCAGATGCTGGCAGGGCGTGGCAGCTCTTCACCTGTCTCCAGTACTGGCTCAGGCCTCTCTCCCATTTGGCTGTTCCAGAGCTGTACCTTTTCGTAAGTTGGTAATCATAAGTAAAGCACTGAACTCTGTGAGCAATTCTAGCAAATTATCAAAGCTGAGGAGGGGGTCATGGGAATCTGATTTGTAGCCAGTCAGTTTGAAGTAGAGGTGACAAGAGGTGAACTTGAAAAAAATCGTCAGAACCCAGAAGTTGAGAGTAATGTTTTATTCGGTGGAGATTTTTAGTACTGCAAGCGGGAGGCAGCATCTCAAGTAACCCAAGAGAACTGCTCTGAGGAGGCGAGGGGGGAGCCAGGATATAATAGTTTTGTAACAAAGGGCAGGTAGCCTGAACATCAAAAGGTGGTTGCTAATTAAAGATGACCAGCTATCTCAAATTAAGGAATTTGGCATTTTTTCTATGTATGGAAAGATGCAAGAGTCTGGGCTCACTGTAATCATTCATTTCATATGCATCTCACCTACCTGGAGCCAGTTTCCTGTGTTTTCTCATCCTAGATTTCCTCAGGGCTCACTGTAGGGAGTGGCTGCAGCCTCATGGCTACTAGAGGGCAGATATTCTTTTTCTTCCTGAGTTACCTCAAGGCTCGCCAGCTCACCTTAGTAGTCTGTGGTTACAATGACCAATAACTGTGACATCCTTTGTTCACTGATATGGCAGGGAATATTCCATTTCTCACAACCTAGACTTGCAACTGGCATCTGAAGTGGGGGTGGTCTTGTGGGGTTGAGTCTTGCAAGACCTGTGGGGTCTGCACTGACTCCAAGTACTATATGAATTGAGACATGTTCCCCATGCCCGGCTTCTTTTTCTGTGGAAAAACTTTAGCCAAAGAATAAGTTTAATCAGTGACGTGTGAACTTGCAGAAACAAAGGAAAATAGTCAAAAGAGATAAAATAACATTAATAATGTAGTGACTAAGCACAGTCAAGGACCTCCAGTTCCTCCTCAAGGACTATGGATAGTGTGCTGAACCATCTCCTGCGAGCTGTTGCATAGAAACTGAAATCCCCACCGGGGGGAGAAGTTAACTACTGATGACCAGACGGTAGCCATGACAGAAGCGGCCACAGTTCTGAGAACTGGCCTTAGGGAAATGGGAGCAAACTGACCCTAGGACTAAAGAGTAACTGCGTAAAAACAATCAAGATGATGCTGGTCAGACCTCTGATGGCCAATTTCAAGTTGACTACCAGAGCTGACTGTGCTGTTTCTGCATGTAGCCCCGTCCCTCTGACTACAAAAGCTCTTGCCCCCATGGTCTTGTGTGCGTGTGTAGGGCGGGGGGTGGGATGGGGTAGGTCAGCCTTTAGACAGATGTCTGCCCTCTCCCCAGGTTGCCAGCCTCCAAAATAAAGCAAACTTTCCTTTCCACCTGCCTGGCCTCTTTATTGGCTTTTGAGCGGCGAGCAGCCAGACGTGGGTTTGGTTACCATAGCAGGCTTTGAGATCTGCTTCCAGAGAATATGAAAACTCACCCAAAGACCCAGAGACCTTTAATGCTCAAGCAGACACTAGAATACATGCCTCCTCAAGAGACTCACAGTCGTGGGTGGGACAGTGGGTGCAGATAAGTGTGCTTGATATGGTGTCCCCCTAGTCCCTGCTGCAGAGAGAAGGCAGACGGGTAGGCAGTGGGCTGTGCGGATGCCCCTGAGCCTGGCTGCTCCACATCCCCTGCCTTCTCCCTGACCCCAGGCTTACTGTGACATCACCCAGGACCAGCCCTGCCATGCATTTGTGATGGCTGCCACTGAAGCAGCCACGGCTGGCATTTTGTCAGCTTTGGTTCGGGGCCCAGGTTGGGAAATTTTGGACTGGAATGAAAAGAAAATGCTCCAGCTTCTAATTCCACTGCTCATGGCACTCAAGGGACATGCCCAGGAAGCTTCAGGTCTGTGCCAAGCTGAGCCAGAGCAGAGGGTGGGCGGACACCTGCATCCTCTCACCCAGCTCCTGTAGAGCTGATTTAGAGGTCAGAGGGGGTGCAGAATTGGAGCAAGTGGCTCATGAAATGAGGAGATTACAGTGGATGAATCAGAGTAGATGGATTGGCCTCAGTGAATATGCCAGTTAAAATGATCCCACAGGTCTGGACCAGAGTTCTGGAAGAACAGAGCCATTAAGAAGCCATGTCAAATGGTGGGGGTGGTGTTGGGGGTGGAGAAGTTTCACATGGCTGGTTGACTCCAGCCCGTTTCAGTAGAGGTCAAGTGGCTCAAAAGAAGCAGCCCCCTGTCTTCCCCGTCTCCTTCCCAGGCCACGGGCTTTTGTCTTTTGAGCTGTGACTAGTGTGGGATTCCATAGGCTTTTTTATTTTCCACTTTGTTTACAATCTTTTGCACTGTGAAGAACTCTAGAATAGGCTGTGTCTGTTATTTCTCAGTGTCTTCTTTCACTCTGATAAAACTATAATGCCATAGTCTGAAAATCCTCAAAGTTTGCTGCATGAGTTTCAGTTCTTCTCATTTCAGCATAATGATTTTTTTTTTCCTTTAAAAGTTTTAGTTTGGTTAATGTCAGTGTACATCAGGGATGGGTGTGTATGTGCAGAGTGAGTGTGTGTGTGTGAAATGTATTTACAAGCTGTCTTTCCTCCAACTCATTTTAAAGTTATTTGACAATGCCAACAAAGCAACAGGAATATCACGTCTTAAAACTTAAACCATAAACCCAATGTTATTTGGAACTGCTGTGTTTTATTGAAAATACCTAAATATATTAAGAGGCTGAGTCATCTGGCAGAATGGTGGTATAGCTGTGATAAATGAGTGTCTGTATAAAGGAACTGGAATATAGAGCGTTCATCCAGGGCTTGAAAACAATTAGGGATGGGTTTCAGGCTGAAGTATCATGGAAGATGTATAGCCAATGGAAATCCTTGCTGGCAAACTCCCTGAGGATTGCATGCTCATAAGGCACTAGAGAACCAGTGAGCTCCCATGGAGTCTAGCCTACGGAAGATACATAAGGTGTATGTTATGCCCACACAAAGGGCTGTGTCCTGAGAAGCAACTCTGAAGGCCAATGTCACTGCTTTCAGTGATTCTAGAACTGGAACGCTTGGCCCAGCCCTCACTAGCTGCGAGGTACTAACACAGGGGTGAGGGTTCGATTCCTGGTCAGGGAGCTAAAATCCCACATGCCTTGTAACCAAAAAACCAAAATATTAAATGGAAACAATCCTGTAATAAATTCAATAAAAACTTTAAAAAGGTCCATGTCAAAAACCTCTTTTAAAAAATTAGAAATTAAAAAAAAAAGAACAAAACAACTGACTTGAAGGGAAGTGTGATATTCTGACAGTGGAGCGGGAGTTAAAAAAAAAAAAGCGCCAGTTTCTGGAAAGTAACATCTCCTAAAATAAATATCTACTAGTTTATTGTCATAAACTCAGTGTACTCAGCAAACTATATTCATTTAGTTTTGAACATTTTGTCAGGCTTCGACATGAAGTGAATGATGATCATTTGTTCAAGTGCTCCTAATTGTAGAGTTCTCATTTGTCTTTGACCGAAATATTAAATTAATTCAACCATTGCAACCACTGACCTGATATGTTCTTAAATATGGTGGCAACAAATGCAGAAGATTTCATAGGTAAAATCTGGATGAAGGATTCAAGCACTGAACTCTGATTTAGTTTAAATCTCTTAAGAACAAACATTTGTCTCAAATGCTATAACTGAGGCAGCCAGAGTATCTAGAAGGATGCCTACTACTGAGTATCAACTTTAAGAAGCAAAACTGAAATAAGCACGGGGCATCTGCAAGAACTGTGCTGAGACACTGCCACATATTCATGCTAAATGCCCTTCAGAGCACAAGGGAAGTGTGTATCCGAATGTGTGTGTTCACCTGAGAATTTGAGAAGTTCTCAGGAGGTAGAGGAGATGGTGGGGAGGAAAAAAAGGAGACCAAGAGCAGAGGTGAGAGAAAGGGACTCTTCACTCTCTGACTATTTTAATTTTTTGCAGTTTAAAAAGAAATTACTGGCATATAATTGATTTACAATGTGTTAGTTTCAGAAAGTGAATAAGAACTAAAGAGCCTCTTGATGAAAGTGAAAGAGGAGAATGAAAAAGTTGGCTTAAAGCTCAACATTCAGAAAACTAAGATCATGGCATCTGGTCCCATCACTTCATAGCAAATAGACGGGGAAACAGTGGAAACAGTGGCTGACTTTATTTTCTGGGGCTCCAAAATCACTGCAGATGGTGATTGCAGCCATGAAATTGAAAGATGCTTACTCCTTGAAAGGAAAGTTATGACCAACCTATACAGCACATTAGAAAGCAGAGGCATTACTTTATCAACAAAGGTCCATCTAGTCAAGGCTATGGTTTTTCCAGTGGTCATGTATAGATGTGAGAGTTGGACTATAAAGAAAGCCGAGCACTGAAGAATTGATGCTTTTGAACTGTGGTGTTGGAGGAGACTCTTGAGAGTCCCTTGGACTGCAGGGAGATCCAACCAGTCCATCCTAAAGGCAATCAGTCCTGGGTGTTCATTGGAAGGACTGATGTTGAAGCTGAAACTTCAATATTTTGGCCACCTGATGCGAAGAGCTGACTCATTTGAAAAGACCCTGATCGGAAAGATTGAAGGCAGGAGGAGAAGGGGACAACAAAGGATGATATGGTTAGATGGCATCACCAACTCATTGGACATGAGTTTGGGTAAACTCTGGGAGTTGATGATGGACAGGGAGGTCTGGAGTGCTGTGGCTCATGGGGTCGCAAAGAGTCAAACATGACTGAGCGACTGAACTGAACTGAACTGAGTTTCAGGTGTACAGAAAAGTGAATCAGTTACACATATACAGACATCCACTTAAAAAAAAAAGATTCTATTGGGACATTTTCTGAGAAAGTTTCCCTGGTGGCTCAGATGGTAAAGGGCCTGCCTGCAATGCAGGAGACCTGGGTTAATCCCTGGGTCGGGAAGATCCCCTGAAGAAGGAAATGTCTACCCACTCCCGTATTCTTGCCTGGAGAATCCCATGGACAGAAGAGCCTGGCGGGCTACAGTCCATGGGGTCACAAAGAGTCGGACACAGCTGAGCCACTAACACTACTCCCATACAGGTCATTCCAAATTATTGAGCAGAGTCCCTGTGCCATACAGTAGGTTCTCACCAGTCATCTATTTTCTATATAGTAGTGTGGATATGTCAGTCCCAGCCTCTCAATTTATGCCCCTCTCCTCCTATCCCTGGTAACCGTGAGTTTGCTTTCTACATCTGTGATTCTGTTCCTGGTTTTTTTGTGTGTGAATAAGTTCATTTTTACCCATTTTTAAAGATTTTACATATAAGCGATACTATATTGCACTTGTTCTGTGTCTGACGTACTTCACGCAGTACGCCCGTCTCTAGGTCCACCCATGTTGCTGCAAATGGCATTACTTTGTTCTTTTTTTGTGGCTTAGTAATAGTTCATGTCTGGATTCCAAAATCTGGAGGCAATATGAAAATTAGGGGCAAGAGATAAGAAATATTTATCCTGAATCAACCACAGATGATTCCTGGGTATTGATGAGAAGGGTTAGAGCAAAGGATACAGCTGAATTGGCTGAGGAGGGTCTCCAGAGATTACTGATGTTCTTGTGCCATGTAAAGGCAATCATGACAGACGGACATGGACAGAATCCCTAGAGAAAAGCTCCTTGATGCTGGGAAGGACTGAAGGAAAGAGGAGAAGGGGATGACAGAGGATGAGATGGTTGGGTGGCATCACCAACTCAATGGACATGAGTTTGAGTAAGCTCTGGGAGTTGGTGATGGACAGGGAGGCCCGGCGTGCTGCAGTCCATGGGGTCGCAAAGAGTCAGACATGACTGAGTGACTGAACTGAACTGAATAACTTTTTAGCAAAAGGAATGAATTTCTAAGCACAAAAGGGAAAAATCATAAAGAAACAGTTTTGATCCAGCAACAAATTTTAATTTCCTGAACGTCAAAGACAAAAGAAATGACAAATTGGGTAAAGTCCTTCTTATAGTATTTTTTCAGCTAAAGAATTATCAGCTTTAATGTCTAAATAGCTTTCTACAAAACAATATGTACATATCATACCTAACCTCCTTCCACTTACCTGCCCCCCAACCACCAGTCCACCTGCACCCAGGAAGGGTGCTTTAGCCCAGCTGCTCTCTGGAGAGGTGTTTCCTGCATGGACAGCCATCAGTTCAGTTCAGTGCTAAGCTTCAGTCGTGTCTGACTGTTTGCAACCCCGTGGAGTAGCCCGCCAGGCTCCTCTGTCCATGGGATTCTCCAGGCAAGAATACTGGAGTGGGTAGCCATTTCCTACTCCAGGAGATCTTCCCGACCCAGGGATTGGACCTATGTCTATTTCATCTCCTGCATTGGCAGGCAGATTCTTTACCTCTAGCACCACCTGGAAAACATCTATGGGTAGCAATGCAGACCAGCAAACTTCTCTCTTCCCTTGTGCGGCAAACATATGTTCTCCAGTGAATTCTGAATCCCAACCTGGGGGAGGAACTCCCCTGCCAGTGTGGTCCTTCTTTTCTTCCCTAACCCTGGGGTATTCTTGGAGTCCTCTAGACCCTTTGTATTAAATAGTTACTCCCAATATTGTCAAAATGGCTATACTACCCAAAGCAATCTACAGATTCAATGCAATCCCTATCAAACTACCAACGGTATTTTTCACAGAACTAGAACGAATAATTTCACAATTTGTATGGAAATACAAAAAACCTCGAATAGCCAAAGTAATCCTGAGAAAGAAAAATGGAACTGGAGGAATTAATCTGCCTGACTTCAGACTATACTACAAAGCCACAGTCATCAAGACAGTATGGTACTGGCACAAAGACAGAAATATAGATCAATGGAACAGAATAGAAAGCCCAGAGATAAATCCACGAACCTATGGTCACCTTATCTTTGACAAAGGAGGCAAGGATATACAATGGAAAAAAGACAACCTCTTTAACAAGTGGTGCTGGGAAAACTGGTCAACCACCTGTAAAAGAATGAAACTAGAACACTTTCTAACACCATACACAAAAATAAACTCAAGATGGATTAAAGATCTAAATGTAAGACCAGAAACTATAAAACTCCTAGAGGAGAACATAGGCAAAACACTCTCCGACATAAATCACAGCAGGATCCTCTATGACCCACATCCCAGAATTTTAGAAATAAAAGCAAAAATAAACAAATGGGACCTAATGAAACTTAAAAGCTTTTGCACAACAAAGGAAACTATAAGCAAGGTGAAAAGACAGCCCTCAGATTGGGAGAAAATAATAGCAAACGAAGCAACAGACAAAGGATTAATCTCAAAAATATACAAGCAACTCCTCCAGCTCAACTCCAGAAAAATAAATGACCCAATCAAAAAATGGGCCAAAGAACTAAACACACATTTCTCCAAGGAAGACATACAGATGGCTAACAAACACATGAAAAGATGCTCAACATCACTCATTATCAGAGAAATGCAAATCAAAACCACAATGAGGTACCATTACACACCAGTCAGGATGGCTGCTATCCAAAAGTCTACAAGCAATAAATGCTGGAGAGGGTGTGGAGAAAAGGGAACCCTCTTACACTGTTGGTGGGAATGCAAATTAGTACAGCCACTATGGAAAACAGTGTGGAGATTTCTTAAAAAGCTGGAAATAGAACTGCCATATGACCCAGCAATCCCACTTCTGGGCATACACACCGAGGAAACCAGATCTGAAAGAGACACGTGTACCCCAATGTTCATCGCAGCACTGTTTATAATAGCCAGGACATGGAAGCAACCTAGATGCCCATCAGCAGACGAATGGATGAGGAAGCTGTGGTACATATACACCATGGAATATTACTCAGCCATTAAAAAGAATTCATTTGAATCAGTTCTAATGAGATGGATGAAACTGGAGCCCATTATACAGAGCGAAGTAAGCCAGAAAGATAAAGACCATTACAGTATACTAACACATATATATGGAATTTAGAAAGATGGTAACGATAACCCTATGTGCAAAACAGAAAAAAGAGACTCCTATGTATAGAACAGACTTGTGGACTCTGGGAGAAGGCGAGGGTGGGATGTTTCAAGAGAACAGCATTGAAACACGTATATTATCTAGGGTGAAACAGTTTACCAGCCCAGGTTGGGTGCATGAGACAAGTGCTCGGGCCTGGTGCACTGGGAAGACCCAGAGGGATTGGGTGGAGAGGGAGGTGGGAGGGGGGACCGGGATGGGGAATACATGTAAAAAAAAAAAAAAAGAAAGAAAAATAAATTGAGACATTTCATAAAAAAAAATAAAATAAAATAAAACCTGAACTCCGCCTAAAAATAAATAAATAAATAAATAGTTACTCCCCTGTTATCCTTTATAACTCTTTTTTTTGTAAGATTTTTTTAATGTGGAACATTTAAAAAATCTTTATTGAATTTGTTACAATACTGTTTCTGTTTCATGTTTTGATTTTTTGGCCATGAGATATGTGGGACCTTAGCTTCCCAATCAGGGGTCAAACCTGCACCTTCCTGCACCGGAAAGTGAAGTCTTAACCAGTGGACTGGCAGGGAAGTCCCTCGTTTATAATTCTTTATTTTTAATTAATTATTTTAATTGGAGGCTAATTACTTTACAATATTGTGGTGGTTTTTGCCATACATTGACATCAATCAGTCATGGGTGTGCATGTGTCCCCCATCCTGAACCCCCCGCCCCACTCCCTCTCCATCCCTCTGGGTTGTCCCAGTGCACCGGCTTTGAGTGCCCTATTTCATGCATTGAACTTGAACTGGTCATCTATTTCACATATGGTAATATACATGTTTCAATGCTATCCTCTCAAATCATCCCGCCCTCACATTCTCCCACAGAGTCCAAAAGTCTGTTCTTTACGTCTGTGTCTCTTTTGCTGTCTCGCATATAGCGTCGTTGTTGCCGTCTTTCTAAATTCCATATATATGCATTAATATGCTGTACTGGTGTTTTTCTTTCTAACTTACTTCACTCTGTATAATAGGCTCCAGTTTATCCACCTCATCAGAGCTGACTCAAATGTATTCTTTTTAATGGCTGGGTAATACTCCATTGTGTATATGTACCACAACTTCCTTATCCATTCCTTTGCCGATGGGCATCTAGGTTGCTTCCATGTCCTAGCTATTGTAAACAGTGCTGCAACAAACACTGGGGTACATGTATCTTTTTAAATTCTGGTTTCCTTGGTGTGTATGCTCAGCCGTGGGATTGCTGGGTCATATGGCAGTTCTATTTCCAATTTTTTAAGGAATCTCCACACTGTTCTTCATAGTGGCTGTACTAGTTTGCATTCCCACCAACAATGTAAGAGGGTTCCCTTTTCTCCGCACCCTCCCCAGCATTTACTGTTTGTAGACTTTTTGATTGGCATGAGATAGCACCTCACTGTGGTTTTGATTTGCATGTCTCTGAGAAGGAGTGATGGAATTCTTGATCACAAGCTTTTCCTGTTCCAGCCCTGCACAGTTTCTGTCTCCTGAATGGACCCTGCACATCTCTGCACTTCTCTGCTGCCCTCCCAACGACTTTACAGATGCTGCTGCTGCATCGCCGCCCTGACCTTCCCAGATCTCACAGTTCCTCTTGAATGTGAGGGACAAAGAGTATGGGGGTGTGTTTGACTGGAGTTGTCTGAGGTCTGTCCCCTCTTCACCAGCCCACTTCGCTCAGTTTTATCATAGCAGTCTCCACTGGGAACATGCGATAAGGATTTCTCAGTGCTTCTCCTGAACCAAGCGCTCTTCCTTTTCCCTTTCAGATGAAGTTCACTGTGGCTACAGACCCAAATTTTCAAACTCAACCGTGATACAAGCTCACGAACTGTTGAACGTCCAGGATGGCGAGTTCCCATGGCAAGTGAGTATCCAGGTCTCGCGGAAACACCTCTGTGGAGGCTCAATCATACATCGGTGGTGGGTTCTGACAGCTGCACATTGCTTCCCAAGAACCCTGTAAGTTTCTGAGGCGTTGTCTTACTTTATGTCAGGTCTCCTCCATGTATTGTCTGGGCTGGGTAGCTTACTGGGTTACTACATGGCACTTGTGAAGCCATGGGCTCTACCCCAAGTGTGTTCCCGCTGGATTTGTACCGAAAGGTATCTGCTCTATACCTATTCTCTCAGCTAACCATAGCCCAGCGTCGGCTGCTAGTTGTGACTATGCATCCAGTATTGGAAAATCAGTACAAAGCTTCCCTTCCCCGGCCTGCCCTCACGCTGGAGACCATGCACTGTATTCACTCATCGTATACATACAGGTGACCACATGCTGCTTTAAGTGATGACAATATGGTGGTCCGCAAGACAGTCAAGTCTCCAGTTGCCAAGGAGTTCACAGTCTAGTTTCTTGGGTGGATTCACCCCCACTGTCTTCCATGGGAAAGTCCCCTTGAGCTGACTGCTCACTAGCTCAGAGTTTTGCTTGAGTTTAGACCCCTGACTTCTGCCACTCTGATCTCTAGCCACTCTTCGGCCACTGTACACCCAATGCTTTGGACTTCTCAGTATTCAACTGCAAGCTCTACTGTTTACAAAGTGTTAAAGTGTTAGTCACTCAGTTGTGTTTGACTCTTTGTGACCCCATGGACTGTAGCCCACAAGGGTCCTCCATCCATGGAATTCTCCAGGCAAGAATACTGGAGTGGATAGACATTTCCTTCTCCAGGGGAATCTTCCTGACCCAGGGGGATGGAACGTGGGTCTCCTGCATTGCAGGCAGATTCTTAACCATCAGGGCCACCAGGGAAGGCCGACTGTTTATAAATGTGTCTGCAAGTGAGAAATGCAACGTGACTATTATTATATTGTAGTTTGTAGTTATTATATTCACTCTTTAGGTTAGAAATGACCTTGGAAAATATCACTGTGGTCATGGGATCCAGAATACTCAAGGACTCCCGCCTGGAGAGAAAGCAAGTGCAGAAGATAATTATTCACAAAGATTATGAACCACCTCACCTGGACAGCGACCTCTCCCTCTTGCTGCTTGCCACACCGGTACAATTCAATAGCTTCAAAATGCCCATCTGCCTGCAGAAGAAGGAGAAGACCTGGAACCGGTGCTGGATGACAGAGTGGGTGACAGCTCCTTCATATGGTATGTACCTTCCCTTCTGAACCCAGAAAAAGCTCACATTTAGGCATAATGCCTAAATGTCTAGCCCCGGGCTAAACGGCATGATGCTTTGGAAGACTCAGGTCTGAATTTTGGCCTCATCACTCTCGCTTTGTGATTCCAACCACCCAACTCCCCCAGGTTATTTTCTTTCACGTTTTCTCATCTGTAGAATGACGATACTTCAGCCTTCAAATAAGATGTGTGGATTAAATTAAGTGAGATTAAACATGTAAGGTCCTTACCATCAAAAGAAGCCTGGAACACAGACGAACCTAAATACATGGGAGTGATGGTAATTTCTTTTGGAGCCCAGAAGCACTGTAGAAAGAAAGTTTGGATTTTTCCCTCCTAGGTTGTTTTATAGTCACATCTCCCCAAATGTTTATCATCAGATGAAGCTCATGTAGACTTCCCTCGTGGCTCAGATGGTAAAGAATCCACCTGCCAATGCAGGGGACAAAGGAGATGTGGGTTCGATCCCTGGGTCGGGAAGATCCCCTGGAGGAGGGAATGGAAACCCACTCCAGTGTTCTTGCCTGAAGAATCCCATGAACAGAGGAGCGTGGTGGGCTCCAAGCAGTTGCAAAGAGTTGGACATGACTGAGCGACAATATTTTCACTAAACCACCATCCTGAGATGACTCTGAGACAATGATTCCCCAACCAAGCACAGTCATCCATCACATCCGGGCCGACCAGACAGGGATGTGGGAAAGGAATGAGTGGGATCCTCTTGGAGCCAGGTTGTTTCTTTCCTTCGAGATGGCACCTTTAGGCATGCCATCCTCCTGGCTTCTCCACTGGCCTGGCAGAGATGGATACAGAAGTTAGGCTGTTATGAATCTCTGCACAAGGCAAAGCCTGGCTATGAGGAGAGATGGTGGGGTTACTGAGAAAGCTCATTCCATATTCACCGGGCAGAGGCTGGGGTGAGGGTTTGGTAGGCTGCTTCCGGAGGGAGTGAGCTTCCCAATGGGAAGGAGAGAAATGAGCAGAGATGGAGAAACCACTCCTGGGAGATGCTGGAGAAGAGACTGAGTGGGCATTGCATTAGGTCACTCTAAGTCTGTGATGGCCCGAGTGTCTACATCCTTTCCAGGGCCTCCACTCTCATCACTTGTGGGCCCATCCCTCTCTGTGGTTGAGCAGGGCTCATCCTCACTCTAGCTTCCTCACTTTGCTAGACCAAAAGGACAACTTCAACACATACCTGCAGAAGCTGAGAGTGGTGCAGATTTCCTGGAGAGAATGCAGCCAGAGGGTAGACCAGCTCTCCAGGAACATGCTTTGTGCCTGGCAAGAACTGGGCACCAAAGGCAACTGCCAGGTACTCAGCCCCCATCTCAGCTCCAACGTCCACAGGCCCCACCATGTTCTGGGTTCCCAGCAGGGAGACTAGGAGGGAAGCCCTAGCTAGAGGGCTAGAGGTTGGGGTCCCCAACCTCTGGGCCATGGACAGGAGGTGAGCTGTGGGTGAGTGAGCCCAGCTCCATCTGTATTTACAGCTGCTCCCCATCGCTCTTATTACTGCCTGAGCGCCATCTCCTATCAGATCAGTGGCAGCATGATAAATGTAATGTGCCTGAATCATCACCAAACCACCCCCCCCAACTAGGTCCAGGGGAAAACTGTCTTCCATGAAACTGGTCCCTGGTGCCAAAAGGTTGGATACCACATCCCTGGCCCATGCCACCAGGACCCTCTCACTCTGCACTCTAGTTAGAGGTGCTGTTCGTTGCTCTAGACTGTTCCTTCTCTCTTTTCTCATTCTCAGGGAGACAGTGGGGCACCTATGGTCTGTACTGTCCACGGAAGCCAGAGGCTCTTCCAAGTGGGTGTGTTCAGTTGGGGCTTACGATCTGGCTTCAGGGGGAGGCCTGGTATGTTTGTGTCTGTGGCTCAATTTCTTCCATGGATCCAGGAAGAGACAGAAAAGGAGGGGAAAGTCTACACCTTCTCAGGAACTCAGAGAAGAAGCTCCCTGCATCATGTTCTGTGGTACCCCTTATGGTTCGGCTTGGGGGTCTCAAGTACAGGTTACCAGCATGTTTACTGGTGATAAATCAGGTCACTAAGCTTCAGATCCATACTATCTTCTTCTCTTCCTTTCTCCCCACCCATCCTTACACAAGTACCTATGAAGCATTCCAGGGTTCCTCTGCCAGACCCTGGAAGAGGGACATGGACTCTGCGATCCCAAATCTCACAGGGGCTATGCTCGTGCTGCTTGGTAGTGGGATGTGGAAATCAGTGAATCCCATGGACATCAGCACATGGCCTTACTCCTGTTCTGTTATTACCAATTGATCAGAAGTTGTGCCAAGTGGAAAGCCATGTGATGAATAACTAGTCATTTAGTGAGTTATGGGTGGTTAGGTGGCAGAAGCTTTGTGGGCAAGGCAGACACATCCATATACAGATTAACGCCTATTTCTATGATGAAAAATTACTGCCTACTCCAAAAGGGAAGAAGTCAAGTATGACTGACCTTCCACAAGATGGGTTATCTGTCTGACCATCCTCAGCCTATGCACGATGGCCACAACAGGGTACCCTGAGGGCGCTCATCCTTTGTATGGAGTTGTACTTTCAGTGCCTAATTTAACACCATGTCCTCGTGACTCAATTAAGGGATGGGGTTAGAGGATCAGTGAGCAGGTCACACTTAAATTCATCCTGACATTCCTACCCAAGATTTTGTATTCCTTCTTTCATATTTTACAAAGAATTCCATTTAATGTAGGCCATCTCTTTTCCAGGGTTTTAGTCTGTCAACTAAACAAACAGAATTACTTCTAGCTGTGCCAGGTTACTCATTAGAATGCAGATTTTCTCTAAAGTGCTCTCAGACTGATACATTTGGTCCAATCATATCTTACTTTATCCTCTGCCTGATTCTTTTAGAGGGCTCAGTGGTAAAGAATCAACCTGCTAATGCAAGAGACATGGGTTTGATTCCTGGGCAGGAAGATCCCCTGGGTAAGACAATGGCAACCCATTCCAGTATTCTTGTCTGGAAAATCCCAAGGACGGAGGAGCCTGATGGACAGTCTGGGGTCACAAAAGAGTCGGACATGACTGAGCATTTAAACAACTCCTTTAAAATCCCTTCTCACACAAAATCCTCAAGTGTCTATAAATTTACATCAGCAGAATGTTGTAGGTCTGTTATTGTGGATAATATCTTCTCCTGGGTCAGATTTAACTGATCCCATATGAAAGGTATCGGGATGACTTTACTTATGGTTCTGACTGCCCTAGGAGGTTACCACCTCCTAGGGGTGGGTCATGGGGAGAATCTGGTATAGCGTACTATGTGTAGTTAGTTGCTCAGTTGGGTCCAATTTTCTGCAGCCCCAAGGATGGTAGCCTGCCAGGCTCCTCTGTCTATGGAATTTTCCAGGCAAGGGTTGCCGTTTGCTACTCCAGGGAATCTTCCCGACCCAGGGATCGAACCCATGTCTCCTGCACTGGCAGGCGTATTCTTTACCACCAGCGCCACCTGGGAAGTCCCCAGCATCTTCTAGGAAAGTGATTTCAGTTAAGTCATTACATAGTCTTCATGGAGAGGAGACTAGCCTCCCAAGAATGGGGTAGAAGGGCTGCTTCTAATAGGAAGGGAAGTTCAGTAGGATTTTGAGGTATTTTTTTAATTCTTTTTTGGCTGCACCACACAGCATGCAGGATCTTAGCTCCCCAACCAGGGATTGGGTCTGTACCCTCTGCATTGGCATCAAGGAGTCTTTACCACTAGATAGTCAGGGAATTCCCAGATTTGAGGTTTTAAAGTACACTAACTCATTTTAATCCATCCAAACATTCCACTGTGATTTTATTGGTCACCTCCTTCCCCAATTAATCACCTTTCATGTATGGATCTAATGAAGTTGTGAATTCAAGTTATGTTGTCATTCTGCCACCTGCAGGACCCACCCTGGGTCTAATTTTTGATGCAATAGATAAAGAGATCCCTTTAGGGCAGTTGTAGAAACTTCTCTGGCTGTTGGATAATGCCTTTGACTTGAAAATGTAAAACCCCAATATTGTTGCTGCTTTTCCTGTAAACTTTCCACTGTATTTGGTAATAGTAGCTCTTGTACTTACCTTTTCCACCAGAAAATTCTATTGCAAACGTCACTTGTTCTCCTCTAACAGGATTCTAAGAATGACAGGTAATAATTTGAGAAACTGTTCTGACATTGCATACCCTGGTCTCCCAGAATCCCATTTTTCACCAGCAAAGAGGTCATTATTCCCTTCAAATCAAATTAGGCCTGACAAGAAATCTTAGATTCCCATCTTTGCAGTTGTATTTCCTGAAACCACTTTCAATACCAAATAACTATATCAGTCAGGATTCTGTCAGGAAAACAGAAAATAACCTATGTACCTCAAGCTGAAAGGGATTTAGTACATAGGGATGGATGCTTATGGAACCATTAAAAGGGCTTGAGTGCAAAGACCAAGAAAAACAGTTGCTTGCTTTGTGAAGCTCAGTAGGCCTCAAGAATGATGACTCACTGCTAATCATCTTATGATTCTCTTCAGCATTAAAGTAACAATTTGTGGAAGGACACCCTAACTTAATGGCAAAACCTCCCAACTGTCTTCTGCCGAAATCTTCATGCCTATGTACAGCTGCTAAGTAAAACAGTGTTTCTCCTGGCCTCCTGCCTTCTAAAACTCGCCTGAGGATCTAAATCTGAAGCCTGTTGGGACTTTGAGCGGTGGGACCAGGTTTCAGCATCTAAAATTCTTGGGAAAGTTTAGAAAGGCAGAGATGGAGCTGAGCATCAAGATACAATAGCTGGCACACTGATAAACTAAATGTGGAAAGTGGGAAAACAATTCCCTCCAGTGGTTGCTGTGAGGATTAAACGAGCTAACACCTGCAAAGTCCTAAGCACAGTATATAACACACGCGTAAGTGCTTGACATCTTAAGTTTTTGGTTGCTGAATCACCCAGTTCAAAAGACATCCATCCTGAATACACATATTGTCAGCTGGATGGCTCAGCCATCACCCAAACAACCAGATCAGGAATCAGGCTCGTGAAGGTCACCATCTATGAAGGTCCCTTTTCCAGAGAGCCCTGGGTAACATACATAACTGCCTGAGTGACCTGCTTCTCCCTTCCTGTACCCCAATTCCTGGCCATATGCTTTAAATTAGTCAATAAAGAATGAATCTGAGAGACCCTAGACACCCAACCCTCAATGCTAATGAAAGCAAGATCCCCAGGTCTGTTACATCTTTCTCTCTCTCCCTGCAACCTGGCTTTGTGACCCCTCAGGTGTGCTGTGTATACTCCAGGGCTTGGAGTAATAACTCTTATTCCTCAAAGTTCCCTGTTGGGGTTTCCTGGTGGCTCATTGGTAAAGAATCCGCCCGCCAATGCAGGAGACATTGGTTTGATTCTTGGTCTGGGAAGATCCCACATGCCTCAGAGCAACTAAGCCCATGCATCACAACTACTGAGCCTGCGCTCTAGAGCCCGGGAACCACAACGATGAGCCCATGTGCCTAGAGCCCGTGCGTCACAATGAGAGAAGCCAACACAATGAGAAGCCCTTGCATCTCAACCAGAGAGTAACCCCCGTCTGCTGCAACTAGAGAAAAGCCCACGCAGCAATGAAGACCCAGCACGGCCATAAATAAATATATATATTTTAAAGTTCTCTAGTGGTTTTTGCTGAAGCATATCCTGCCATCCTAACGAGAACCACAAAGGCTGATCCAGCCACTCATTGGAGAAGATGTCCATGGGGGCTGGCTGCAAGTAATACGGTCTGGATGAGTGCCACCCATATTCCTAGCTGACGGCGTGGTTATCAATAGGCTGAGACCAACACCAAGCCATGAAAAGCCTTCCTGGGCAGTTGGCTATCTTTATCTGCCCTGAAATAAGGATGGCTCACAGCTTTCAGCTCTGTTCCCTGGGAGGGAACACCGGGATGATACTGCAGTTATTTTCCATCTGTCCCCATTTCACTACTACAAATCCACTGGCTGTCCTTCCCTGAGTCCCAGGAGGCTGATGCCTCCAGACTGGTCACCTGGGTGGGTGGGGGGCCGTCCCTGAATGTCACATGGCTCGCCCTGGGCAGTGGGAGGCACTCACAGAGGCAGGAGGCAGGCAGGAGGGGATTGGGGGACTTCCTCCCTATCCCTTTCCATTGGGGCCCCTTGCTCCCAGGGGCAGGGTCCCTCCTTGACCTGGTTCCTGCCGGAATCTCCCCTCCATACCTGCCCTCCTCACTGGACTCCAGCAGCAAGGCTTCCTGTTCTTGTCCCGTGGCTGACGGCTACAGTGGGTGTCTGAAATGCCCTCCTTCATCAGAACACTTTATGATGCCGGCAGCCTTCCATCCTGCCATGAAAGTAGCCTCACGTCAATTTTCTGAGTGGAACTTCCTTCTGGGACCCTCTTGAATTTCTCTGCTCAAGGTCATCTTCCTAAACACTTGGGCCTGAGGTTTTGGAGCCATCCCCTCGCTTCCCCCTCAGTGGGCTGGAAGGAAATTCAGAAAATCACAGCAGGGTTCAGCAGACGGTCAGGCCGTGGATTCACACTGAACTCAAGGACTAGACCCACCGCCCTTCCTGGCAGACAGGACTTCATCCCCAGGAGCCCACAGCCTATCAGTAACCGCAGGTCCCTTAAGGAGACGAGAGTCCCAGGGCCCACCTCGCACCCGCGTCCAAAATGGAATGTGTGAACCCAGGTCGCGTCTCTGTGGCCTTGAGCTCAGAGACCCCGAGCAGCCTGTACCAAGAAAGAACTAGGGCACAGCTGAAATCCAGAAGGGAGAGGAAACAGGCGGAGATCCACGGGGAACAATGTCTATTTCTTAATCCGTCTCCTGCCCCAAATAGCTGGGCTCTCCTCCCCCACTGGTGTCTACTGTGTCCCTCTCCCTGGCAGCAGGTGCCACCAGGCCTTAACTGGGTCACCGAGGGCGGCGAGGAGCCGACCAGGCCCTCAGGCCACATCCTCCCGACTTCACTCCCCAGGCTCCAGACTGGAGGGGCAGAGCGCAGACTCCAGGTGGCCCCTGCCCTCCAGGGCGTCCCGGCGGGGCCCCTGCTGCCCGGAACCACAACCAGCGAGGGGGGCATGCTCTGTCCATCCTGTGCGGGGGCAGAGGGGCCGCACTGCCTTCCCACTGCAGCCTCAGTGAGTCCCCTAAGGGACCGTCCTCCCCAGGGCAGCCAGAGGGCCCACACAAGGGCTAGCCACACCCTGGGGGCAGAGCTAGTGTAGAGGATAGAGTGTAGATTACAGGATCAGAACACAAACAAATCAAACCTCAGATTTGAAACCCCAGACCCCCGAGGCACAGGGAGGGAGATGCTTGCTCAGGATAACCCAGCGGGGAAGTGGCCGAGCGCAGGCCCCAAGCACCACTGCTCACCCGCTCCGGTCTGCGGCCACGTGTCTACCCCTCCCGTCCGACCCCGCCCCTCCTCCTTCCCAGGATCCCGGCATCTGGTCCTGATGGCGCCTTTCTCTCCACAGGTTCTGTCGGAGCATGGTTTCGGCCTGATCACCACGGACATCCGGGAGGGACAGACCTTTTACTACGCGGAGGATTACCACCAGCAGTACCTGAGCAAGAACCCCGACGGGTACTGCGGCCTCGGGGGCACCGGAGTGTCCTGTCCCCCAGGTATTTATTATGGACACAGAATTCACATGTTGGAACCCTAGCCCCCAGCATGGCTGTTTTTTGATGGTGACACTAAGGAAAGAATGAGCTTCCCAAGTGGTGATAATGGTAAAGATGCCAGCTGCCAATGCATGAGACATAAGAGACCCGGTTCCATCCTTGGGTCCGGAAGATCCCCTGGAGGAGGCCATGGCAACCCACTCCAGTATTCTTTCCTGGAAACTCCCATGGACAGAGGAGCCTGGTGGGCTACAGTCCATACAGTTGCAGAGAGTTGGTCACAACTGAAGCCAGTTAGCTTGGTTAGCATGCATGCCGGGAAAGAATTATGGCTAAATGAGGTCACAAGGGGCAGGAATGTCTCACTCACTACCTGAATCCACAGGGAGGCCATGCGAGGCCACAGTGTGAAGGCAATGGTCTGCAAACCTGTAAGAGGGGCCTCCCCAGGAACTGGGTCAGCTGCCACCTGGATCTTGGACTTCCAGCCTCCAGCACTGTGAGAAGATAAATTTCTGTTGTGTAAGACAGCAGTCTATGGCATTTCATTAGGGCAGCTCGGTTTGACTAAGCCAGAATGAAAAAGGAATCTCTCCCTATGTGGTCGGCCCTTGAGGTCACAACAAAAACACTTGAAAGGAAGCAGGCAGTTGTTTTGTGGTTCACAGTGGCTTTTTGAAATGCACAAAAGCATTTTTCAAGTCTGGTCTTTGAGATATAATTTAGGAAATTAACCTTTTTAAGACATATGGTTCCATGAATTCTGACCACTGCCATATGGTTGTGTAACCACCACCACAATCAAGGCATAGCGCTTTCCACCACCCCAGGAAGTTCTCAGGTGCCACTGGGAACCCGGCCCCTGCCCCAAATCGCAGCCTCTGGCAACAGTTGGTGTGCTGTCTCTGCCTGTCTGTGCAGCATATGGAAGGGAGTAGCTAGCCAGCCTCTTCAACTCAGCGGAAGGCCTTGGAGGTTCCTGTTGTCAGTGGCCTGTTCCTTTTCGTTATTCGGGGCTATTGCTGTTGTCTGGATGGACCACTGATAGACAGGTAGGGTGCTGTTTTTAAGTCAGTCATGTCCGAGTGTTTTGTGACCATATGGACTCTAGCCCACCAGGCTCCTCTGTCCATGGCCTTCTCCAGCCAAGTATACTGGGGTGGGTTGCCATTTCTTTCTCCAGGGGATCTTCCTGACCCCAGGGATCGAACCAACGTCTCCTGCATTTACAAGTGGATTCTTAACTGCCAAGCCACCGGGAAACCCGTGTAGGGTGCTAGTTTTCAGTAATTATTTATAAAGACTCCCTAAGCGTTGTGTACCACACCACGCATGTCTCAGTGTGGGCATGTGTCTTCCTGCAATGGTGTTTTGATAAAAATGTGAATTTGTGCATACATGTGCTGGGATATTGGGAATTCTTGAGGATCTGAACGACGATTGTGCACATGCTGTGTTCTCCTGTTCAGAAGTTCAGGGTGAGCCATGGAAGCCATGTAGTTAAGCCAGGTGACCTTGTGAATCCTTTACTTATGTCCTGTCCACCGTATATGAACATGTGCCCTCCAGGGCCCCGAAGTTTGCAAACACTTACAGCTGCAACAAAATATTTCTCTCCGCTGAGCCCAAATTCATATTGTTTTCCAAAGAACAGAGATAAGAGGCCCTGTCTCCCATTTTCAAGCCCCCTCCTGGCAGAGAAAAGATTTGAGTTAATCTTTTTAATGATGAATTCTAACATAGGACTCAGTCTGTGCTCGCTCCACGGTGTCACCTGATTTGTTAGGATCAGCCGTCTCGGGTCCCTTCTGAAGAATACCTTCAGCTCTCTCTTTTCCTGCTGCATCAGTGACTCTGAGCTGCCTCGATTTACAGGAGACCAGCTGGTGTGGAGTCCTTCCACTCTGCTGCCCTCCACCTCGCCAGTTCCACACTGACCTCCGCATCCCAGAGGACTGGCTCGTGGAATCATCAGCTTCCGGTCCAGGATGCCTCTTGGCTGTCTTGTCTGGACAGAGCTGGCTCCACCCAGTGCCCTATTGTGACCTGGGCAGCAGGCTGGGCCGTAAGAGTGCAGGCACAGACAGCAAGGCCCTGAGGGGTCCCTCTGAACTGCACATGAGCCGGCCTACCTGAAGCCTCTCCATGGGCTTGAGTCAACAGCAGGCCAGTGACAGGATGGGGGATGGAAGAGCCGCGCTCCTGCTGCCGGTCGCTCTGCTGCTGCGCTGGCCACACAGCAGCCTGGGACGTAGGTCTCTGCTGGTGTCCGTGGTCTGTGCCTCTCCAGGGCTCTCACTCCTTGGCCATCAGGTGTATCACCTGGGAGCTTGGTCCAGGGGTCAGGCTCTAGGATGCAGATTCTGTAGTTCTGGGTGGGATCCATGGAACTGCCCCTCCGTGAATCTCATGTGAGAGCCCTGGACCAGACTCTCAGATCATTGGTCCCCACATACCCCCAACTGTGGAGAAGCCTGGTGTGTGTAACATCTATGTTAGGTACCAGTTTTCTAGAGTGAATGGCCAAAGTAAGTAAACCCCTTGAGAAGGGTAACCAGCTGTCCATCTGAAGATGCTAACTAGCCCTGTCCTGCAGCTTTAAGTCCCCATGTGATCCTTAAAGAGGAATTTCTCTGCTGTTTTCTCTTTGAAAACATTCTGAAGGATCATGTGGAGCCTCGTTGGTCTAATGCAAAGCATAAATAATAGAAGCTTTAATGAAGGCAATGTCTTAATACCTACCATGGATTCATCTCCCTGGGTCTGAAGAACTTATGGAGATGCGTGTTATATTTTCAATTTGTTGGTTGACAGATAGCAAACCTCTATTACATGCTGGGAGCTGTTTATTTTTTAAAATTGGAGGATAATTGCTTTACAGTGTTGTGTTGGTTTCTGCCATACAACAAAATGAATCAGCCTTAAGTGTACAGTGCACTCTCCCTCCCACCCCATCCCACCCCTCTAGGTGGTCGCAGAGCACCAGGTTGCACTCCCTGTGTTATAAAGCAACTCGGGAGCTGTTTGAGGAGAGAGATGTTTTTTGGTTTTGTCTTTGTTTTGGCTGTGCTGTGTGATCTTAGTTCCCTGACCAGGGATCAAACCCATGCCCCCTGCAGTGGAAGCGCAGAGGCTTAACCACTGGGCAACCAGGGAATTCCAGGAGAGATGTTTTACAGCAGAGAATGACATATCAATTCCTACCCTTAAGGAGTTTTACTGTCTAGTGTCTGGAGGGAAGTATTGAAATGGGTAAATACAAGTTAATTCTGGTTCCTGTTAAATGGTATGAAACATATAAAACAGGCTAATGTGATGGGAGATCTGCAGGGGAGTGCTGAGACTGTCCTAGGAGGCAGTCATGGAAAGCCTTCCTGGGACGACAAGACTTGGGTGGAGACCCATCCTATGAGAAGGAAACCTATTTCCAAGCAGAAGTGACAGCAAGTGCAAAGGTCTTGAGCTGTGAGTGAGTCCAGTGTGTTTTAGGGGTAGACAGGGTGGTATAGTTGGAGCAGAGTGAATGGGGGGAGGGTGCTGGAGTGGGCTCATAAAGGCACAGTGAGGACTTTGGGATTTTATTCTGGTGACAATGGGAAGCCATCTGAGTCTAAATGGGAGAGTGAAAAATGAGATGCACTTGAGAAAGACATTCTGGCTGCTCCAGAGGACAGACTGTGGGGGTGCAAGAGTGGAAGTGGAGAGAGACATTAGTGGGCAGGACAGGATAATGGCCAGGCTGGGTTTATAGCCAGAGGGATGCAGAGGAGTGGCTGGCTTCGGTTTCGACACTGTTTGGTAATGTTGATGGAACTGGTTGGAGAAAGAGATAACTCAAGGATAACTCCAGCCTGATCTTCTTGCCTAAGCAAATAGATGGGTGTGGTACCATCCGTAGAACTGTGCCAGAGTGACATAGAAGCGAGGTTAGGCAAGTAGATGGTTCAGTTTGGACTGCTTTAATTTGAGGCTCCTCTTAGATGTTCTTGTGAACTGTGGAATAGGGCAGTTGTTAAGGGGGGAGCTCAGCAGAGAGGCCTGAGGGGATGAGCTTTGGTCTGTATAATGGTGATACTTGAACTTGGGCTGGGCTGGGATACTTCAGCCAAAATGCGTGGGGAATGAAGTGGTCTGAGGACTCAGCCTTGAGTTTTGGAAGAGGAGGGGGATTCAGGGAAAGAGTATGAGAAGGGATGGCCACTGATGTGGGAAGACCGGCAAGGACATCCTCCCAGGGAAGCAGTGCACAGAGGGAACCCCAGGTTGAACCAAGAGTCTTGGGCTCAGCTCAGACTCCCTGGTCCAGACTTGAATGAAACCAAACGCCATCCCTTTAAATTGATGCGACATGAAAAAATAGGCAGCAGATTGTGTTAATACTTATCTTTGTATGGAAGATGAGAGGACAAAGGCTCAAAGAGGCTAAATCAGTGGCTCTAAGACACACAGTTAGCAAACAGTGGGTCCAACTCAGAACTTCTGACTCCAAACCCTACTTCTTTCCCTCCCCACCAGGTTCCCTGCCAGGCAGGAACTTTCCACGCTAAAATCTGGAAGACCTGAGTTGTCTCTCCCGTCATGTTTCTCCTTCTCTCATGGTGACATATACCGAAAGGGTCTTTTGGGGGGAAAAAAGATTTTCTGAGACATCCTGACGGTGCAGGCAAAGAAAAAACAAGTAAAAACCTGAGATGAGACTTCCCTATCTTAATCTGTTTGGTCACACCTCTGGACCTGGATCAATTAGTCACCTGGGGAAAAAATCTAGAGTCTTCGGTAATTTCATTCCGGTGGGATTTGCAAGGGAAGATCTACAAATTCCCCCACCAGGAGTTTTGCTCTGTGGTGCTGGCAGACCCAAGGCTTCATTCAGTTTTCTATCTGCAGACTGTAGAAACCACTTAGGATCCCAGCATCTATGTGTATGCATTAGTCACTGAGTCGTGTCTGACTCTGTGACTCCATGGACTATAGCCTGCCAGGCCTCTCTGTCCATGGAATTCTTCAAGCAAGAATACTGGAGTGAGTTGCCATCTCCTTCTCCAAGGGACTCTCCTAAAATTCACAACCATGTGTCTCTTATTTTCCAAGCCAGTCCCAACTCTCATTTTCCACAAAGTTGAGCCATTGAGATCCAAAAATATAGAATTTTTGTACTTGCACAAGATTTTTTGTGTAAACACATGCACATTTCAATTTGCATGACCACTGACAGCTGCACTTAAACTGTGGTACTTAAAATCACATACCTCTTAAACAAAAATTCAGAATGAGGAAGCTAAAGTTTGTTTCAATGTTTACATGTAAGACTCAGAATAAAAACAGTTATGTTTTATATTAACATAAAATGAGAGGATGGACCTTCAGGTTTCTGCATGGTTTTCCTAAAGATGTGGCATCAGACTTGCTCAGATCCAGTATTGAGGGGTGAAGACCATATGGAGGCATGGAAAAGTCTTACACAAGTATACAGATTCTACCATTTGTTATATTCCACTGTGTGAGGCCCTGGGTCTCTCCTCCCTCTCCCTTCTTCCTGCTCTTAGTGAAATGTGGCCAAAGAATGAACAGTTCTGAGAAGTCTGAAGTTTTGGAAATCATAGGCGGGGAGCCTGCAAACATCAGAGATTTCCCCTGGCAGATTCGTATCCTTGAAAACGGGAGTCATCTCTGTGGAGGATCAATCCTCAGTGAGTGGTGGATTCTGACCGCAGCCCACTGCTTCAAAAGCAAAAATGAGTAAGTGTTGCGGATAGACTTTTTTTTCAAAGCAATGTAGTAGAATATTTGCCTTGTGTTGTTGTTTAGTTTCCCGGTTGTGTCTGACTCTTTTGTGACCCGATGGACTGTAGCCTGTCAGGCTCCTCTGTCCACGGGGATTCTCCAGGCAAGAATACTGGAGTGGGTTGCCATGCCCGCCTCCAGGGGATCTTCCCGACCCAGGGATCGAACTCAGGTCTTTGGCAATGTAGGCAGGTTCTTTACCATCTGACCCACCAGGGAAGCCCAAGAATACTGGAGTGGGTAGCCTATCCCTTCTCCAGGGGGAATCTTCCTGACCCAAGAATTGAACCAGGGTTTTCTGCATTGCAGGAGGATTCTTTACCAGATGATCTACCAGGGAAGCCTTTTGACCCTACATGCCTCTTATCTTTTTATATTATCTATATATTTTCTATTATTTAACTTTATATATTTTATTATATTGATTATATTTTATTTTTATATTTATATAATCATTTTATAATTATAATTTATTTTAATTATATTGAATTTTAACTTATATTTATTTTAATATTTATATTATTTATTTTTATACTTTATATTATTTATATTTTAATGTCATTTTGCCCCATATGCCTATTATATTTGCCCCTACATGCCTATTATTCACATTCATCAGGCATAAAAGAGAATACAAGGAGGTGGACACCTGTGTGGTTAAATATGACCCTTTGCGGGTGGAAAGAAGCTGTTCTCCCAGGACGCGCACAGCTTGCTGTGTGGGTTCTACACCGCAGAGCAGATGTTCCTTTACTGAGGAAAGGAACGGCATTTTGCTAAGTGCATGTAATCCCGTGGAGAATCCTCTCCTAAGCACTGGGTTGACAGTGACCATGAACTGGGGAATCCTAGAAGCATCAGGCCCTGAGGGCAGGGCACCAGGCCTGGCTGCATGACAGAAGGTATTGTCTGAGCCCCAGTCCACAAAATCATATTTTTGCAAAACTTCTCACTTGTCTGTAATACAGCCAGTCAAGCTTTCCTTGCAAATCAAGGTTAAGTCCCTCAACTACTTATGCCAGCAGTCTCCAGCTGTTTGGCACCAGGGACCAGTTTTGTAGAAGACAGTTTTTCCATGGACTAGGAGAGGGGGTGGTTTGGGGATGATTCAAGTGCATCACATTTATTGTGTACTTTACTTCTGTTATTGTTACATCAGGTCCATCTCAGATCATTAGATTCCAGAGGTTGGAGACCCCCTGACTTAGGCATCGTATGGCTTCCTAGACATTTGTTGATGAGATCTACAGGTGAATTTTGCCCAAGTCTTGCCATTAGGTCAAGAGCTGGTTGGCCAGAAGGCAGGGCAGAGCAGTCAGGTCTGGCTGCTCCTCCGTGGCTACCAGCCAGGTGCAGAGCCCGAGCTGCCTCCCCCTGTCCCCAGGATCACAGTCTCAGATGGGGGAGGTGGGGCAGTTATTTTCTCCTAAGGTTCACTTTTCATCTTTCCACCACTTACCTTTTCCCTCTTTCTTTTGTTTTGGAATAAGATCTACCTTGGAGGTCACACATGGTGAAGAAAATCTTGATACCCAGAACTTGACGAAGATAAAAGTGGACGAGCTAATTATTCACAATAATTTTGACAGTTGGTTCTACCTTAATGACATCGCTTTGCTGTTGCTGAAATCGCCTCTGAGCTTGGGTGTCAGGAAGGTACCCATCTGCCTTTCGGAGGTCGCTGACATAGAGCAATGGAGGAACTGCTGGGTGACCGGGTGGGGTACTACTGGTGAGTGACTGTGGCCCACCCCGGGGGAGGGGTGGCACCCTGGCTGAGGTTTGCAGCGAGAAGCAGACTCTGGAGGCGCCGCTGGCCCTTGGGGGTCAGCCTGGTGGACCCGGGCACTTCTGGTTCTCCATTAAGGTCCCACCAGGAACCTTCTTGTCTGCATGGGAGCCATTGTTTCTGGGCACCCGTAGCAAGTTTCAGGTCCGTATTGTGAGATAGGAACCCTGAACAGGGCCTCAGGGAAAACCCAGGCAAACATATTCAGTGTCCTAAGGGTGACCTAGAAGAATCTGGAGGGACATACCAATAGGCAAAGGGGCTGGGCTCTGGGAAGAACACGCTGATGTCAGCCAGGGCAATGCTGTTACAGTTGATGGAACCAGTTCTTCTCCCCTGTGATAAAGGGCTCTGTGGCTAAAATCTCAAACCACAGATCCAGGCCAAGGCAGAGGAGATTCACCAAATATAAAATCGTCCTTCTAGAGTCAACTCCTGCTGCTCGGTTCAGCTGACCCATACAGTGATGTCCTTCTGTTTTCCTTCTTGGCTAATGTGACTTTCCCCATAATCATTAGGGAAAGGAAAAACAGATTCCACCTGGTGCTGTTCTTGCAAGGAGGCACCAGAATGGCTCTACATGGTCCCAGAGCTCAGAGCTAGGTTAGATTTCTTCTTGGGAATTGCCCTTAGAAGCTTTTGAATAGCTTCAAAAAAAAAATGGCCACCTTCCTCATGTAGGGTTCCTTATGCTTCATTTACCTCATTTTCATTGAAACTCCTCTAGGATCCAGGCAGTGTTGTAAGCTCCAGGTGATCAGCAACATACAAAGAGGAAACCATGCCCATCTTTGAGAGTGGACATTCTAGGAGTTGGGCTCAGCTTGAGTGCATAGGCGGTGAACTCAGGGGCTCTGGTGTGAAGTCCATTTTTTTTGTGCCATGGGTCCCAGGACAGAATTTGTCACTGTGGGTTCTCTTTACATTCTCATGGATTTGAATCAAACACCTTTTTAGGATCCTATCTGGAACCTGGCACCCTTGGCAGGACCAGAAGACGTCTCACTGAGGCTGAAATCAATAGAAACCCAGTCCTTGGAGCTCTTGCTTCACAGAGAGTGGGTTCAAGAGTCTCCTGGATAACCCTCCTACTCCCTCCTCAGCCAGTCCAAATTCGGGTTGTTCCCTGGGCTATGGAGCAGTTCCTTGTTGTGGAGGTGAAAAGACATGATGTGGGTGGGTCCATCAAAGGGACCACGCAGTGCTCAGGGTCCTTTCCCCATCTGCTTCTTTTTTGGGTCAGTCCCTAAGCGGAGTACAGAGACAAGGCTCCGGAAAGTCAATATCCAGCTGATCAAGTGGGAAACCTGCTTTGAGCTGATGCCTCTACTGACCAAGAGCATGCTGTGTGCCGGGGACCTTGAAGGTGGGAAGGATGCCTGCCAGGTAAAGCTGGGAGAGAGGCTGTCCCAGAAAGCTGGCCGACAGGGTGGGACACCTGGCTTCCCTCTTTCTCCTCTGAATAGGAGGTGGATTAAAACAACAGAAGCGTGTTCTCTCACAGATACCAGAAGCCCCAAATCAGGGCACTGGCAGGGCTCTGCTCCCTCTCGAGGGTCTAGGGGAGGATCCTTCTTTGCCTTTTCCAATTTCTGGTTGTTTCAGGCATCCCTGGGTTTTCCTTAGCCTGCAGGTGCATCCTTCCGCTCTTCGCATCCATCTTCAATGATGTAGGTGCATTATTCCAGTCTCTGCCTCTGTCTTAAAATGCCTTCTCTTCTGTGTCTCTCTTAAATTTTCTTTTTTCTTATAAGGACACCACTCGTTGGATTTACAGCTCACCCTGAATCCAGAGTAGTCTTCCCCAAAGAGCCTTAATTAGACCTGTAAAGACTCTATTTCCAAACAAGGTCACGGTGATGGGTACAGGGGTTGGAACACATATTTCGGGTGGGCACGGTCAACCTGCTGCAGATAAGAAAGCGGGTCAGATGGCCCTCTCCCCTGTGTCTCCTCTGCTTTCCCTTCTTTATAGGGTTGCCAGTCATTGGATCAGGGCCCACACCAATCCAGTGGGGCTGCATCTTAAAGGAACTAGTTACATCCGCACAGATTCTATTTCCAAATAAGGTCAAATCCTCAGGTTCCGGGTGGACAAGAATTTGGGAGGGCTGCTCTGTGACCAAATGGGGGCTGTGCGGGGTAGTGGTTAGGGCCGCGGGCTGCCTGAGCTTCCCTCCTGGCTCCCCTACTCCCAGCCTGGGCTCCCCTCCGAGCCTGTGCCTTTTCACATTTCCCCCATCTGTAAAATGGGACAACTAAGGGTCTTTTTAGGATTTTCCAGGTGGCGCTAGTGGTAAAGAACTTGCCTGACAGTGCAGGGGATGTAAGAGACATGGATTTGATCTCTGGGTGGGGAAGATCCCCTGGAGGCGGGCACGGCAACCAACTCCAGTATTCTTGCCTGGAGAAGCCCATGGACAGAGGAGCCTGGCGGGCTATGGTCCACAGAAGCACAAAGAGTCGGACAAGACTGAAGTGACGTAGCATGCACAAGAGTCTTCTTAGGACTATTGTGAAGATAAAGTGACTCACATACAAAAGCATTTAGAAATGCACAGAGCAAGGGAGGGTCATGGCAGACAGTGCAGACACCGTCTTCTCCATCCCCCGTCTCACATCTGCTCCGTGCTCAACAGCACACAGAGTACTTCCACAAACACACCTCAGGGTTGTGAACTAGCCCTGGGAAGCAGGCCCACTTCAGATGGGAGGAGGAGGACCAGGAGAGCTGACAGCCTTGCAGAGGGCACCCCGGGGAGGTAAATGACAGACTCTGAGTTCTAACCAAAGCCTGATGACATCAGGGGGGAGAGCCCTCTTTGGGGTTCCAATAGGAATGGGGCTCCAAAATGCAGCAGCTCCACAAAGATTCAACAACCACAAAGCTGCTGGAAGCTACTAGAGAGTGAAGCTTGCCACACATCACTGGTGTGTTTTACAGGGGTCAGTTCCTTCCCTTCACACAGCGGCCCTATGGGAGAGGTACAATGATCACCAGCATAAAAATGAGCCTCAAAGCACGGAAGGAAAAATTCACAGTCTCTCAACTAAGTATTCATCCTGGGGTATGAATCAAGGTCTGTTTGGCTCCAGAAGTTTAAGTTCTTAATTGTACATCTTTCAGCTTCCCAGGTGGTGCTGGTGGCAAAGAATCCACCTGCCAATGCAGGAAACCTCGGAGACATGGCTTTGATCCCTGGGTCAGGAAGATCCCCTGGAGAAGGAAATGGCAGCTCACTCCAGTATTCTTGCCTGGAGAATCCCATGGACGGAGGAGCCTGGCTGGCTACAGTCCATGGGGTTGCACAGAGTCAGCCACGAATGAAGTGACTTCCCACACATACATCTTTCACATAGATCCCCTTCATGCCTAGAGAAGCGAGTATTATTCTTCATTTTAAAGAGAGATCATGGGAATTTCCAATGACTCCAAAGAATTAGGTAAAGAACAGTTTAGTTCAAATTAAGTTGATGAACACAGCAATTTGTTCACAAAAACAATTTGGTTTTAAAAACTCAAACCCATATACTACTGAGGGGGGTTGTTTGTTTTGTATTTGGATTTTTGGCATGTCGTTAAAATGGTAATTCTTTTTGACTTTCCTGTGTGTCACTTAGTATTCTCAAAAATAAATCTTTGTAAGCTGTGAGACACTATGTACTGCTGGATCCTATTTCTGTAAAATAGTAATGACGTGTCTGTGTATTTGCAAATAGGAGGATGCAGAAAGTTACACTGGACTAAGGAGCTGCCTCTGCATGGCTGGAATTAGCAGTGTTGTTTATTTCACTTATTTATTTGAGCACTCATAAAGAAAATGCCAGGGGTAGAGAAAGGTGTGCAGTGAAGAGGAAGTTGGCCTTTTATAATTGTTCTCCTTTTCACTCCCCAGAGAAATCACTGTCAAAGTATTAAGAATATCTTACTTTTCATACACAATTGTGTCTATTCTTATGTATAAATTTACTTACTAATATTATTATGAGTATTATTTATGTTCTTTTTCCATATCTCAGTTTTCTGATTTTTTATCAAGATGCATGATTCTTTAATAGAAATTGTAAAATGGTCCAAAAGCTTTGGGGCCATGAAAGTTTGTGTGTTCCTTCATCTTCATGTCAATGTCTGTTCCACCTGGGCTTTTTTGGGCAGTTTGTTTCATGATGCTTTAAGATTGGTAAATTGTTGAAAATTTGATGTTTTAAACCACAATCTAACATTTTGACATGATTTTTGTACTTTCTGCCTTCTGAATATATAGTCTGTATGCCTGTTGTCTTCAACCAATGACCTATTGTAAAGCATAATGGATTTTTGGTTTGGGTTTTTCCTTTTTGCTATTGTGAACAACTCAGAGCAAAACGAAGCTTTTCCTGGGGAAATTGGAAGAATTCTGAAAAACCAAAAAGTGCTTAGAGGCAAAACAAATTTGGAAATCACTCCTTGGCACATCAAAATGAATGCATGTGACTGGACGATGATGGTGGATGTTTACTTTTTCGACCCAATTCATTGCCATTGCTTTGACTAAATTGCTTGCTCCCTTTTCTGAGAGTTGAAGAGCTGGGAGCACATTCATGGTTGGAGAGCCAAATCAAAATTAAAAACATCCACCTATCCAGTGACACCATCTGCTTTATGCCAGATGCCCACCCCTCAATAGGCTGTAAGAGCAACCTGTGGCCACACCTTCCACTTCCAAACAACTTTTCTCTCCTAGGGTGACAGTGGGGGGCCTCTGGTTTGCCAGAAAAAAACCAGGAAAAGCAAATGGTACCAACTGGGCATTGTCAGCTGGGGAGTGGGCTGTGGCCAGAAGGAACATCCTGGAGTGTACACACAGGTGTCTAGTTACCTGTCATGGATTGAGATGAAGACCAAGCTATCAAAAAGGCCCTACAGGCATGAGCCAGACTCTGGGTACAGTTTGCTTCTATCACCCTGGGCCATCTTGGTACTGTATTTTCTGATGTTTCTATTATCCCCATGATTAAACACTACATTGGCTCAAAACCAAGTGTCCTTCTCAGCCTTTGAAGTAAGTTCAAGGGTGGGTTGTAGGTTGCAGGGAGGGATTCTGATACAATTAGCCGTGCCTGAAATAATCATATACCTATATGTGTGTGTTTATGCTCAGATGCTCAGTCATGTCTGGCTCTTTGTGACCCCATGGACTGTAGCCCACCAGGCTCCTCTCTCCATGGAATTTTCCAGGCAAGAATATGGGAGTTGGTTGCCATTTCCTCCTCCAGGGGATCTTCCTGACCCAGGGATCAAACTCGCATCCCTGCGTCTCTTACATTGGCAGGGGGATTCTTTGCACCACCTGGGAAGCCCCAATCATCTACCTATGTGAAGTTGAAGTGGTTGCTCAGCCATGTCCAACTCTTTGCAACCCCATGGGCCTACCACGCTCCTCCGTCCATGGGGTTTTCCAGGCAAGAGTTCTGGAGTGGGTTGCTTCCCTTGTGGCTCAGCTGATAAAGAATCCGCCTGCAGTGCGGGAGAACTGAGTTCAGTCCCTGGGTTGGGAAGATCCTCTGGAGAAGGGAAAGGCTACCCACTCCAGTATTATGGCCTGGAGAATTTCATGGACTGTATCGGCCATAGGGTTGCAAAGAGCCGGACACAACTGAGAAACTTTTGTCTACCTACAGCAGTGCTTAAAATACAACCGGGACCCACTCAGAGGCCTGTGGCTCCCCTGGGAGCTGGAGGCAGATTACCGACTTGACCTTGAGCCCTCTCCAAGAGTTTGGATGGAGCATCTTTCCATGGGGAGTGGTACAAGGAGCTCTGAAATAGAAAGCCTGCTCTTCCCTCTCACAATCAGGTCTCTTCTACAGCTTCTTTCATTTTCCATTTCTTTTGCTCCTGCATGGAGAAACATTTCAACTCCGTACGAGCTTCCTTCGCTCGTAGCTCACCCCTGAGACCTACAGACTTGATCTCCAGAAAGGTCCCTGCTCTTTACCTTCCCTTGTCTCCACTTGGCTCAGAGCCCCAGTAAATGCTGCTTCTGGCTCTCAGAGCCCATGAGTAACAGTGCTGAGATTCAGGATCAGCGCATCACTGACGTAGAAACGTCCTAGAGATGAGGTGGGAAAGAAACACACAGCTCCCTAGAGATGAGGTGGGAAAGAAACACACAGCTCATTGGGTTGTTTGCTTTTTTGTTACTGAGTTTCATGAGCTGTTTGGATATTAAGCCCTTGTCGGTCCAATCATGGGTAGAAGACCAAAATAGATATTTCTTCAAAGATGACATACAGATGGCCAACAGGCACATGAAAAGATGTTCAACATCACTCATTAGTAGAGAAATGCAAATCAAAACTACAATGAGGAATTGGTTTTAACCAGTCAGAATGGCCATTATTAAAATGTCTACAAATAACAAATGCTGGAGAGGGTGTGGAGAAAAGGGAACTCTCCCACATTGTTGGTGGGAATTAAATTGGTGAAGCCACTATGGAGAATATTATGGAAGTTCCTTAAAAAAAATTAAAAATAGAGTTACCATATGACCCAGTAATCCCACTCCTGGGCACATATCTGGAGAAATCTCTAAATTCAAAAAGATATATGCACTTGTATGTCTATAACAGCACTATTTACAACAGCCAAGACATGGAAGCCACCTAAATGTCCACTGGCAGGTGAACGGATACAAAGACCTGGTACATACATACACAACAGAATATCACTCAGCCACAAAAAAGAATGAAATAGTTATTTGCAGCAACATGGATGGACCTGTAGATCATCGTACTAAGTGAAGTAAATCAGAAAGAGAAGGAAAAATACCATATGATATCACTGGTATGTGGAATCTAAATGAACTTATTTACAAAACAGAAACAGACTTGCAGACATAGAAAGCAAATTTATGGTTACCAAAGGGGAAAGGGGGTGGGGCAAGGACAAATTAGAATACAATTTCTAAATCTTATTAACATGTCTTTAGAAGACTCAGCGTGGTCTGGCTCTCCCTAGCTCTCTGGGATACTTTTCCCTAATACCATCCTCCTTCAAAACCATTCCAGTCCCAATGGCTTATTTGTTCTCAAACACCACAAATTTCCCCCTGCCTTGGGTCATGTATACTTCCTGGTCTGTCTGGAAAGCTTTTCCTTCAAGCAGCTACAGTGGGGATGCTGACAGTGATTAGGGATACCCACTCTACATAGGCATTCTTGATGCATTTAGGGTACAGCCAAATTCCAAGAGAAAGAAATGGGTTCTGTCCAAGGGGAACCGTGTTATATTTCTTCATCCACCTCCTGACCCCAGAATGCTGTTCTCCACCCCAACCTGTGTGTTCATTTCTCCTTTGCATCATTCAAAGTATTCAGTCCTCAACTTACATTGTACCACCTTCCCTGACCCGCCCAGCTAAAACAGCTCTAAACACAGCTCCACAGCCCCCAGGCCCAACTTACTAGCTTATCTGATTTGCCATCTCCCCATCATATGTGAGGACCAGAAATTATCTTACTTATTCACGGGTTTACCTGTTTATTGCATATGTTCTCCACCCCTTGTCCTCAATACAGAGACTCTTAAGGGCAGAGATTCCATGTGTGTATTCTCTACCTGGAATAGCCCCTGATGTGATGACTATAATAGGCGGATGGAAAACAGCTATTATTACTAAAGTTGCAAGGACCTAGAGCTGTACATGTTTTCTAAAGATTGCAATCAGATTTCCCATTTGGGGGAAAATGATTCTTAGCCTTTGAGAGCTCTAAAATTTATCTTATAATACTTAGAAGTATCCTACCTAAACAAGTAAAAGACAGATGAGACATCAGTTTGTATTAGCAGACTGTAGACCTTTATTAGAACAAGCATATGTCAGAGCTGTGAGCAAAGCGTTAAAATTTATCAAGCTAACTCATAGCTTTTCCCTGCCATGAAGAGGGCGCAAAAGAGAGAGAAAGCCGCTTGTACATGTATAGGATAAGTTGAGCAAAGTATTTCAGTGAATGATTCATTGAGGCTATAAACATTTGCAAATTTTAAGGCACTGAAGGGCAGGAGGGCTTTTGAGGGGGGCCGGCTGTGGTGAAGGAAGCCCTGACCTCTGCCCCACAACACATATTCTCCCAGCTTAGTTCCCTGACATCCAGGGCAGGCACCCAAGCACAAAAAAAGGTGAACACTGATTATTCATTATCCTCATTCAGACATCAAATGATCCAAAAATCTTCAACGCGGGCTTCTCCTGCCATAACTTATTAGAAGATAAATTACATGTTATCAACTTGCCATGGCACTTCATGTAAATTACCCCTTAATAAACCAGATTTTTATGAATGCCTTTGTGCACTTCAAAAAGCCCCTGGCGTGAACCACAAAAAAACTCCCCGATTTGTTGGAAGCATTTTGGCTGTGACCTCGAGGGCTGACCACGTGGGGGAGAAATTACTTTTTAATACCCAGGGGACAGGACACTCCGGTGCCCCCGAGGCCGCAGTACCCGTCGGGGTTCTTGCTCAGGTACTGCTGGTGGTAATCCTCCGCGTAGTAAAAGGTCTGTCCCTCCCGGATGTCCGTGGTGATCAGGCCGAAACCATGCTCCGACAGAACCTGTGGAGAGAAAGGCGCCATCAGGACCAGATGCCGGGATCCTGGGAAGGAGGAGGGGCGGGGTCGGACGGGAGGGGTAGACACGTGGCCGCAGGCCGGAGCGGGTGAGCAGTGGTGCTTGGGGCCTGCGCTCGGCCACTTCCCCGCTGGGTTACCCTGAGCAAGCATCTCCCTCCCTGTGCCTCGGGGGTCTGGGGTTTCAAACCTGAGGTTTGATTTGTTTGTGTTCTGATCCTGTAATCTACACTCTATCCTCTACACTAGCTCTGCCCCCAGGGTGTGGCTAGCCCTTGTGTGGGCCCTCTGGCTGCCCTGGGGAGGACGGTCCCTTAGGGGACTCACTGAGGCTGCAGTGGGAAGGCAGTGTGGCCCCTCTGCCCCCGCACAGGATGGACAGAGCATGCCCCCCTCGCTGGTTGTGGGTCCGGGCAGCAGGGGCCCCGCCGGGACGCCCTGGAGGGCAGGGGCCACCTGGAGTCTGCGCTCTGCCCCTCCAGTCTGGAGCCTGGGGAGTGAAGTCGGGAGGATGTGGCCTGAGGGCCTGGTCGGCTCCTCGCCGCCCTCGGTGACCCAGTTAAGGCCTGGTGGCACCTGCTGCCAGGGAGAGGGACACAGTAGACACCAGTGGGGGAGGAGAGCCCAGCTATTTGGGGCAGGAGACGGATTAAGAAATAGACATTGTTGCCCGTGGATCTCCGCCTGTTTCCTCTCCCTTCTGGATTTCAGCTGTGCCCTAGTTCTTTCTTGGTACAGGCTGCTCGGGGTCTCTGAGCTCAAGGCCACAGAGACGCGACCTGGGTTCACACATTCCATTTTGGACGCAGGTGCGAGGCAGAATTCCAGCTTGTGTCTTTAGGAGGAAAGAGATCAGGATCTGACTGTTGTTGGTCCATTTAAGATGAAGTTGTTGAATTGGCCCAGCACAGGAAATCCAATTTAATTTTTGGCATGAGTCACTGAAGGGCTTTCCTGATGGCTCAGATGGTAAAGAATCCGCCTGCAATGCAGGAGATGCAGGTTCAGCCCCTGGGTTGTGAAGATCCCCTGGGGGAGGGCATGGCAACCCACTCCAGTGTTCTTGCCTGGAGAATCCATGGACAGAGGAGCCTGGAGGGTTACGGTCCATAGGGTCGCCCAGAGTTGGGCACAACTGAAGCGACTTAGCAAGCACGCATGAGTCACTGATGCATTCTTCCCTGAGAGCCTTCACCTTTCTGCTGTATCTCCTGCCAGTCCTCTGAGCCAGAATGAGGCCAACAGAGGATCTGATGCCAGGCAGGTGAGGGAGGTAATGGAAGGTGCCTCACCAAGGCTTGCGGTTTGGACCCCACAGCTCAGAGGCAGGCAGTGTCCTTACAAGGGTTAGAACGGAGAATGGGGAGCCATTCTGACTTTGGGACAATCTTTTGTAAACAAGCAATTATCGAGGGTTTACCACGTGCCACGCTCTGTGTTAAGTTCAGCTTCACAACAGCCATCTGAAGGGTGTAACTATTATTATTGCCGGTATTTAGGTGTGTGTCCAGCACTGTGCTCTGGCCCCTGTGTCCTCAGCGTGCCCTGCTATTGCACAGGCTGCAAGTTGAAAGTGAAAGTGTTAGTCGCTCAGTCGTGTCCGACTCTTTGTGACCCTATGGACAATAGCCCGCCAGGCTCCTCTGTCCATGGGATCCTCCAGGCAAGAATACTGGAGTGGGTTGCCATTCCCTTCTCCAGGGATCTTCCCGACCCAGGAATTGAACTCAGGCCTCCTGTATTAGCATACAGAGTCTTTAACACCTGAGCCACCAGGGAAGCCGTGGCTGCAAGTTGGGGAACTGCATTTCCCAGATCCTACCGCCAGCTGCCCCAGTCTAGATCCCACCAATGGGAGATGTGCACACGACCCCAGCAGGTAAATCCAAGGAGAAGCCACCATCTGCCAGGTATAGCGGTGAGGATGGGCACAGAGCCGACCTGGGGCTCAGTCAGCTCCTCCTGAGAACCATGGGCTCTTGTGCTGAGGGCAATTACAGTCATCACAGTGATTCGAGCAATTTCTGTCACTTTTTGGCATCCCCAGATCCAGAGGTGCTGTTCCCTGACCTTCACTCCAACAGCCTTTCAGATCATTCTGGAGGCACCAAATTCTCTTCGTAAAGCCACCCCCCTTCAAACATCTCGAACACATTCTGTTTCTGTGATGAACCCCAGCCAGTGAACATGGCCTTTGGTGCCAGAACAGTTTGCAGGAACCAAAACCTCCCTGCGCATCAAGACCAGGGCGCTGGTCAACCATCCTGGTCAGACTTCGAGTCAAGAGCGGCCTCGTCGTGAGTGCAGAGCGCAGCGGTGCCCACCCGTGTGTGGTGCCAGGCATTTACTTCCATGTCACGGAGGTTTGCCTGTGAAGGACCACTGACGGGCAGCTGGCTTTGCATCATGAGGTGGCTGTGGCCAAAAAACTCTCTGGGGTACGGGGCGTGTGCTGTGCTCCGGCGCCACTTAAGAGCTTGTGAGAGAGAATGATGTGGGGCTGGGACCCATGAGCCTGGCCCAGGTTCAGAGAACCAGAGGGCTTCTCGGACTGACTTCAAATATTGATACTAATGTCCTGTCTCTTGTAGCTGGAGCCAAGTACCAAATCAAAGGCTGGGCTCTGAGGGTCCCAGACTTACGAGCAGAGTTCACACCCTCGCCAGTCTGAAGCTCAGCCACAGTGGCCTGATTTTGATGCGGGGACCCTGGCCCCCACTCAGGAGGTCCTAAGCTCTGACACAGTCCCCATGTGCCGAGGTGACCTTATCTGACCTGGCACCTTTCCCCGCCGAGGCCACGATGGACCGCTTTGGTTGAGAGTCTGCTTGCTCTGAGATCTTCAGATCTCAGCCCCGGGCTGTCCCTGCTCACTCCCCATCCTGGCTCATCCTCTCTGTGGGTCACCTCCTCACTCACCACCCGCCCGGCGTGGACCCCTCTCCCTCACAAACGGCCACCCTCCTGTTACAAACAAGGACAACCTTCATAAGGCCCTGGAGCTCACAGCCGCCTTCTCCTGAAGCTTCTTTTCCCAGAGTCGCGGAGCCGGCGGCAATGAGCGCTATGGCCCAGGCTCTGAGCGACCCCTACCCACCACCACCCAGAGGAGCCGCAGGGAGGTGTGGGGAGGGGCCGGCAGTACCAAGCTCCGCCACAAGGTGGCAGACACCACACTCTCCTTTGCGAGGAGAACCTGGGAATAAATGGCGATGAAAACCCACCGGAGACAGAACCGCATGCTGCCCTCCTGCACTTCCCGTTAGACTCGGACATCCTGGCCCCGTCTGCTCTGGGGTGCAGGTCACCCCCGTGCACTGGGCCAGCGGCCTCTGGGCTGGAGCCTCACTTTGCACAGGGCTGTCCTCAACCTCCATCCGAAACTGGGGCGTGAGGACAAAATTGCACAAAAGATACTGGATGGAAAGACAGAGCAAGTAGGGAAACGAGAAACCCTGCCTCGCCCCTGTTCGCCCTGCTTCCCAGAGCCCTGGCCCTCTGCTTCCTCAGCTGCATCCTTAACAAGAGCAAGTCACTGCCCCCAGCCCCTCCCAGGGCCTGCCTCCTCTGAGGGGCGCGCACGCACGCACGCACGCACACAGACACGCACCAACACACGGACACACACACGCACCCGAGAGCATCGTCAGTGTGCTCTGATGAGCATCCAAGGTCAGGCACAGACGCACGCGGCACCTGGCACTCGCTGACTTCCTGACAGGCCTGGCCCACTTTCCCATCAACGCCCAGCCTGGGGGCAAGGAGCCCACCATCTTGCCCTCGGCAGGCAGGCCCCCACCTCCACTCCGTCCCACGCACGCCCTACTTCTATGGCTGCGCCGCCGTCTCTGTGGGGCAGGAAAGAGAGGCTGGGGTCGGCGGTGCTCACAGCGCTGGGCGGGGCTCCCTGCCCCCCCGCGGGCCCGGCCTGCAGAGGAGGCAGCCGGGCGTTCCCTTACAGATGTTCTGCCAGTGGGAGTGTCCTGGCCCGACCTGGCCCGAAAGATAGGGCCCGACCTATCTTTCCAGTGCTGCCGGCAGGAAGCCTTTCTTTTAACGAAATGAGTGAACACAAGACCACTCTGCTTGGGCAGCCTGCTAACGAGCTCACTGTCAGCTCTGATTCTCCCAGCGTCTGGGGCTATTTGGCCTACTGTGAGGGAAAGACAGGCTCTGACGCCACCCTGGAGGCCTGCCTGGAGGCCGCGGCGGTGCAAGCGCTCCGGAGCACCCACAGGCGGGGCCTGCCGAGGACAGAAACCGCGGCCGAGAAGCGGCCTCAGTCCCGAGTCCCTGCATCCAGCGTCTCCAAAGGGCTTCTCCACACACTCCAGTCCCCGAAGAGGAAACAATCGTTTCTATTATTTCTCAGTGGAGGACAGAAAAGCCCAGGGAGAGAGGAGGCCTGTCCACAGCCACTCACAGCTGAGCTCTGATGAGAACCTGTTGCTGAGTCAGCAAGTTGTGTCTGACTCTTCCCGATTCCATGGACTGCTGCACGCCAGGCTTCCCTGTCCCTCGCCATCTCCCGGAGTTTGCCCAAGTTCATGTCCATTGAATCAGTGATGCCATCCAACCATCTCATTTTCTATCTCCCCCTCTCCTCCTCCTCTCAGTCTTTCCCACCATCAGGGTATTTTCCAGTGAGCCAGCTGTTTGAACCAGGGGGCCAAAGTATTGTAGCTTCAGCTTCAGTATTTTGGAATACTCCTTCCAAAGAGTATTCAGGGTTGATTCAGGTAAGAACAGATTCAGATCAGAACCTGTTCCCTGACTATTTCCAGCACTGCTGCAAGAACACCTCAGCCAGATGAAGGTGCTACTCCCAACCCCTTAGGAGTTATTTTTAAATCTCCAAAAGAGACCTAGGCGCCCATACTTGGATCACATCTTCCCCACCCTTTTCAGTCAGTCAGTCAGTTCAGTTGCTCAGTCGTGTCCGTCTCTTTGCGACCCCATGAATCAATTGCAGCATGCCAGGCCTC